CAAGCCATCAATAAAGCATGGAACTAAGCCTCATTAAGAACAACTTAAAACAGGAAAAAAAAAAACTAAGAAAAGCAATCAAGACAAAAAACAAAGCGCAAAACTCAAATCTAGAAAAATACACAAAAATGGGAAAAATAATTGAAAATTTGAAAACTCAATTAAAACAATTGAATTTGGCCAAATTAGGGTAGACTTAATACCCAAAGGTTTAGGGTTTAAAAGGCTGAAAACCTTTAGACTAAAAAGTTTTGATATTTATGTTAAATTGATTTATATTATTATTTTTACTCTCAATAAAATATGGAAAAAATAAATTTAATTTTAGAAAAATGATAAAAAATATATATTTAAAATATTCAATTTAGTTAACCCGTCTACTGATGCCATTATCATTTTTCAACTCAATTAGTTAAGTATGTCTAAACAATCCTTGACTTGTGGCGAGCTAACCTCCGAAAAATTATCAATCTCGTTTTAAATGAAATTAATAGCCATAAATCAATGTTTATGTGTACACACAATGTCATTACGTCATGCTTTCATATGTCGAAATCCATGTGCTATGGGAATATATTTTATGAATTGTGGCTGCATTAATTAATTATGAGCTTAAGTAATTAATTTTGGTTAGTTATTAAGCCTAGAAACACTCTTTTTGTTCTTGTATTGATCATAATAGGTGAACTATATAAGCAAGTTTATTGGATAAAAGCTCAACCTATAACCCTTTAACTGTCAGTTTTATCTTTACCACAAAGCTAATTGAGTAAGATAGCTCATGGGAGAGTTAGTTAATTAACTAATTATACTTAATTAAGTGGTAACTAACCTAAACTTCAAAATGTTTAACATCTCAAAGTACCAGTTTGGATTTTAGTTGGATATAATAAATTATGAAAATAATTAATTAAGTAATAAATTTTAATCATAATTGATTATGTTATATTGCAATCTATTTAGATACTTTTTTTTTAAATTAATTTTAACAAAATTAAAGATGTTTGGATAATTTAATTAAAATTAATTTTAGCTATATAAATTACTATAAAGGACATTACTTTTCAAAATTAAATTATTAATATATTTGTATCTAATATTATTAAATTTTTTAAATTTTATTTAAGAAGTAAAATATATTATTTAAATTACATATCTAATTAATTATAAAAATTTAAATTATATTAATATTAATAACTTAATTTATGTAAATAAATATCTCAATATATCTTAGTTTAAATAAATTTAATAAAAGAGAAAGATTTAAATTTTTAAATACCAAATATTAATTTTTTTGATGATACAAAGTTTGAATTTCATTAAGAAAAAAAAAAGAAAAGAAGAGAGTTTGGTTTTATTTTTGTTAAATTATGCACTTTTTTTATAATTTTTTCTTGGACCCTTCTTTATAATTTTTTCCAATGCTTTTTGGCAAGCTTTTCTGCAAATGTTCAAATTCTCAGCTTCCAAGAAAAATTAATTTTTGGCCCAAAAATTGATTAACCAAAATGTTGGGTGTTTGGATAATTTTGTAAAGAATCAATTTTTTTTTATCCAAAAAATTGATTTTGAACTATATCCAAACACACACAAAGTCTTTTATAATTTATTCTCTCCATCTACTTTATTGTACTCTCAAGCTATATACCTCTTTTGATCTTTATTGAAGGATATTTTTAATTACTTTATGTATTTTAAGAAAAATTAATTTTTTCTCTTGATTTTATAAAAAATGAGATATACTTTTATTTTTATCTTTAATTTAAAATCATGGTATAACCACATTAAATATTTTACGTTAATTAAGAAAGAGTACAATTGAAAAAAATAATTTAATTATTACAATGTGTTATATATTTTGAATAAAAAATTATTTTTAGAAGGTATTTTACAAATAGGATCAGAGAGAGTATTCTTTTTGTAAAGCTAAGGAGGTCTTGTGGGTTGTGAATCTAATCACTCTCAAGGTAATCAAAATTCTTACTTGAGTTAATTTTTTTTTTTGAAAAATTAATTTGTAGGCTCTTATAGTTTGCATCAATTTTGAATTAGGACCTTGTAATTTTTTTTAATCAAACCCTTATAATTTAATTGATTAAATATGTTAATCCTTAAAGATTAAAATTCTTTATTCTTTCCTTTTAAATAATAAAATTAAAAACTTTTATATTTTTATTAAAAGATTATGCAACTTTAGAATTAATTACATACTCCCTCTATTAAAAAATGTAAGATATTTTTAACTGAATCTCATCCTCCAATAAAGCAATTACTTATTTTTAAATTAACCTTGTCTTTCCATATTTATTTTTATTAAATACTCTACAATAAATATAAAGTCATTATCCATAAAGGCAATAATTACACCTCAAAAGACTAAAAATGCTTTATATTTTTGAACACCTAACTCTTCAAAAAATACCTTACATTTTTAAATGGAGGGAGTAATTTTTTATAATTCAAAATTTATATAATTAGTTTATGTCTTCTAAATAATTTTTCAAGAAATAGAATTTCATAAACAATTAATAAAAATGTAAATACTACATTAAAGGGAGAATCACATAGGGCCCTTGGAAAGAAAATATTTACATAGAAGGCCTAATATATTTTGATATTTTTCTTTCAACTCAAGGGCCTGATCTGCAACTCTATTTTCCACTAAAATCACCAAATTACCCCTCAAATAAACAACTACTATTCAACTCTACATTTTCTTCCTCACTCTTCCTTCTTTTCTTCCTCTTCTTGCATTGATTCCCTCCTTAAACATTAGTCTATTATTCAAATTGATGGACATTTCGTTCTCTATTTTATGCGGCACTAAAGAGGAAAATGTGACCAAATTGCGTAAAAAGAAATTGGTTAGGGCTTTGAATTAGGGGAAAATTTCAGTCAGGGATCCTTGACTGAACTTAATCAAAAAGTGGACCCCATAATTTTTGAAATTTTACTGAAGGACCCATACATAATTTTTCTCAAATTTATGATCGACATGACAAAATTGCCCTTATTTAAATAAATAACATAAATAACTTGTTCGTTCCCATCATGTATGTTGTTCATTTACTTAAAAATGTTGTTCGTTTTCTTATTTTACTTGTTTATAGGCTTAGTTTCACTTGATTTCATTCTGTGTTCATTCATAATAAGACGATTTTTCGTTCTCATATTGTATGTTATTTATTTACTTATAAAATATTATTCATTTCTTTGCTTCACTTGTTATGACCTTTTAAATGAAATCAGGTGAAAGTAAGTCTATAAAACATGTGAAGTAAAAAAATGAATAATATTCTGTAAGTAAATGAATAATATATATTAAGAGAATGAGCAAGTCATTTATGTTGTTCATTTAAATGAGGGCACTTTTGTCATTTTCGTTACAAATTCAACAGAAATTCTGTATGAGTCCTTTAATAGAAATTCTCTTTTTTATTAAGTTCAATCAAGGGTCCCTAACTGAAATTTTCCCTTGAATCAGCTTGTGATCCATGCATCCTCATTCTCCATATCTGGTTGTCCATATGCAAGTTTTCATATCCTTGTGGGGGGGTTAGGAACCATCAAATATGAGTGTACTTTGAGCTACTAGTTTGATTATTTGAACTTAGACATTCTAGTATTTGAATCTCCTACTAGCTTAGGTTGCTGATAAATCTAAGTGATTGTAGTTGAGTTTTGCACAAGGCAAATGTTGGGATCTAAAATTGCCCATGAGTTAGAAATGAATTTTGTGATGTTAAAACCATAATGTGGTGTTGTAAAAACACTAATTGTAGTTATAAATTTACAAACTGATGAAATTTTGGTTTGGAATATGTTGGAAATAAAAGTTGCCCTAAAAACTTTTACTTGTCAATGTCTTAATTCTAATTGTAAAAATATGAACTTTTACTTGATACTTGTGTAACACAAATGTTTACTTGTTAAAACCACATGAGTGAACATTTTGTTGTAAACAATAAGACCTTAATTGCTATTTGCAGACATTTTATTGTAAATTTTATCTAAGTAACTTGTAAAAAAAAATGCACCACCATATTTGTCTTATAATTAACATTTGACATTACTAACAAAAAAAGCTATTTATGACAACATCGACACAATTCTAGAGTCATCCTAATCCCATTTACATTTACATGTTGGATAAAGAGTTTGACTTCTTGAAAAGATATGAAGTTGTCAAATAACGAATAATTATTTGTTAATATATGAAATTAAAGTTGCCAATTTTTAAATCTATAATTATAAAAATATGGATTGTTACTTGTCATTTAAGAACCTTAACTTGTGAATATCTGAACTTATAAATTTTGAACCATGACTTATCAATATTTGAACTTATACTTGTAAATTTTAAACCCAAATGAAATTTATAATAGAATGTCTATAAAAATAATTAAAATCCAATTATTTTTTGTTAGATTATGCAATTACACCCAAATGGGGTGCATTGAATGTTAAGAAAATTTTCAATTTAAACAAATTTTTTTACAAAAACTCAATTAAATATAAGGTATAATAGAAGTTTATCAGTTTTTGGATAGTCCCCTCTTCTCCCCTTCATATTGCCAAACAAAGGGAAGGAAAATTTTATGCAAATCTCTCTCTCCTCTCCTCTAAGCCAAATAGAGGTAAAAATGGGTCATTCCAAATTTTGGCATCAAAACTTTGAAGATGCAATAGAAGTTCGAAAGTTTTTTAATATTACCAAACAAGCTCATCCAAAAAGGGGAAAGAAAATTCTCCCTTTCCTCCAGCCAAACAGAAGGTAAAAGTGGGCCATTACAAATTCTAGTATCAAAACTTTCATGATACACGATATGCGCAATCCTATCTTTGTTTAAAGTTCAAACACACATTATAGGCGTTGACCAATGTTCACGATGGGCCTAAACAAAGACACATTGTGGGCGTTGATCTTTATGGGCCTACTGTATTGGAGCGGATCTTCCCCATCTCTCTGCAAGCCGCCCCAATTAATGCCTGTTTGGTTGATGGAATACCTATTTTTCCTCACTTCCTCGAAGGCGTCCACTACACTGCGGTATCTCCGCCATAAGAAGTTTTATTGCAGCTCGTAAAATCTCAAGGGTTTGCGGGGTGCAAAACCCAAAAACCTAGTTTTCGGTTCAGCCATCATGAACTGCTGCAGTAAATCTCTTTCTCTCAATATTTTCTTTGTGTTTCTCTTGTGTTGATTTAACTCTGCATTCGTGGGTTCATGTTAAGTTTTCATTTCTGCTGATCTTCATCTCTTCTCGTTGTTCTTCACCGTCCCTGCAGTCTCCGGCGAGGTGCCCGAAGAGCCAGTAGTGTCGAAGAAGTCTGGGTTACTCTATGAGAGGCGTTTAATTGAGAGGCACATTGCGGTACCTTTTTCTCTTTCTCAGTCTTGTTCTCCTGCATTTCTGCTCTGCCATGTTGAGCTTGCTGAAACAATTTGAAATTGGGTCAAGTATAGGTTAGGGCGAAAAATTAATGAAAAGAGTAGATGATTTTAAATACCATGTTTTTTTAAGTCAAAAAGTAAAAGAGGCGAGAACATGATATTTTGGGTTTTAGCTCCGCCTTGGAAATTGGAGTGCATAATTGCGTGAGATTTTTCTCCCTATCAGGTTTCCTCTGACATTTAGTATCTGAATTGAGGAATATGGCTAGTTAAATCAACTAGTTTGTAGAGTCCTTGAGGTGATTGGTTATTCGTGAGTTGTATAGCAATGGATGCTCTCATCACTATTGTTTTCTGAAGGTTTTTTAATTTTGTTAATAAATTGCGTAGGACTATGGAAAGTGTCCAATTACTGGAGAACCTCTTGCTTCGGATGACATAGTTCCAGTAAAAACAGGCAAGGTATGGTTGTACTGGTATTGGTAATAAAACTTTATATTGAGCCTATAACTGGACTAACCTTCTCATGCTTTGTGGCTCTTTGCTTTTCAACATTCAATTATTAGGCAGTTTAATCTGGATAATTTGTGTTGCAGATAGTGAGGCCCCGGCCTGTACAGGCAGCAAGTATCCCAGGCATGCTTGGAATGTTCCAAAATGTATGGCTTTTAAGGCTTTAGGACATTTTACTGTTTTGATATATGATATATTTGCTGCAGAACGTTTGTAAACTTGTATATTTATGTGCTTTCATTATTTTCTGTGTTGGAACTCTAAACGTTGTTGCCTGTTCAGTGGCTAGAAAGGTCTAGTGCTTGACTGTTAAATTGTTTCTTTCTAACAGGTCTTTTTGTTTCTTGGATGATAATAACACTCAGAGTTTGAATCTTCTGTCAATTGAGTTTCTTTTTTTTTAGTATTTCATATAAATGTAATTCATCTTGACATAGAAACCTATATTATATCTCTGGTTTTTTTCAATTCTGTGCTGTATACGACAGAGGGAAAACTCAATTAGTTTGAAGTCTAATCATTTTATTGTAGTTCTGGTATCTTTTCTCATTTTACTATGTTGGAGATTGCATTATTATGCGCATCATAAGTATGCCAAGATTGGGGAAATTTTCTTCTATGCAGTGCAGCCTCAAATAATCGGCATGTTAATCTGTTATGTGATAAAAGAATATTAGTTAAGGGGTGTTTGGTGGTTAAGATTAGCTAGTTAGGGATTTTGGGTATTAGGCTATAAATAGAGGGGATTCGGGGTTAAGTTGTATGCATTTTAGGCTTATGAGTGATAACAGATTCCTTCACTCTCTGTTCTCTCTTCCCCCGTCTCTACTATCTGTCGTCTTCCTCTTCCTTCTCTTTCTCTCCCCTGTTTTCCCTTCTTTATCCCTCTTCCCTACTTTCCTATATGTCAGTGGTATCAGAGCCACTCCTTCGTGGAGATACATAGGACTGTGAACAGCATGAAGCAGAAGGCAGGCCTGCATAGGATTCATGGAGAGTTTGAAGTGGGTCAATGGGTTTGTCTCAAGCCACAGCTGTATGGGCAAATTTCTGCAGCTCCTAGGAGCTCTTAGAAATTGGCTCCATGGTACTTTGGACCATACAGAATCATTCAGATGGTAGGATTAGTTGCTAACAAGTTAGAATTACCCCCAGACTCAACAATTCATCCTACTTTCCATATTTCTGTGTTGAAGTTATGCCCTGATCCATCTTTTAAGCAGACGCATCTGCCAATCCAACTTAGTTCCAGAGGAGGTTTTAAACTAAAGAATGGGAAGGTGCGAAGGCAGAATCATAACTGAAGTGCTGGTGCAATGGAAAGGCCTTCTGGATGAGGAAACCAGCTGGTTTCCCTTTTTCAGTTGCAGTAACAGCATCCAGCTTTCATTGTAACAGACCCGTGAGGTCAAGGGTTTTTGAAGGTGGTGTTGATTTGTAATTTGTAAAGTTAAGTAATGAAGATAGTTAGTTAGTAGTTAGTGACCTTTAGAAGAATAAAAAGGATCAGGTCAGCATCTATGTATATAGAGGGTGCTGTAATCTGAAACTATATTCTTAGCTAATATTCAGAATACTATTAAGAAGTCTCTCTCGTCTCTCTCTATTTCTCCTCTTTCTCTATTCTTTCTACTACCATACGACATAATCATGCTGAGCCAGTGAATATTCTGAGGTAAGAAGGAAACGGCAATTTTTTTTTTTAAGAGAAGGAAGAAAAGGAAAAAAACCATCTAGAAATGATGATTGTCTACACTTGAAGAATAATGTCAAGTTGACACTACCTAGCTTCAGGGAGAGTGATGGAGAATGCAACATGATGTAATTATTGTAATTGAGTTGTTCTTATTTATTTTGTTTTAATTAAGGTTTATTTGTTTATTTTAGAAGCTTCTTTTTGTTTTTAAATTATTTGAAGTCTTCTGTTTAGATTTTGATGAGAATGTCCTATTTTTAGATTAATGCCTTTTAGTTGGGCTTGGAGTAGTAGGTTACTCTTGTTTTAATAAAATAAATTTAGAGGATCATTAGCCCTGGATTTCTGCATGTGGCCATTCGGGATTAGTCTCTTGTATGGTCATGCCTGAACGGTTGGGAGAGGCATATTGTTTGAGTGGTCTTGTGAAAAGTAAAGGCTTAGTTATTATTAGAGATAAGAAAGACCTGTTGTCATTGAAAGCAAAAATTAGAGCTAAAAATTGGGTTATTAGGCTTTTTTCATGGTATAACACCTATGAAAAAAATACTTGAATGAGAGGCATTATTCACCTAACGAGGATTTCTGTTGCATATAGCTTTGATTGGTCAAAAGTCAGGATGGTAAACTTACAGTGTTTATATTGTTGGATGGAACATAGCCTAGAACTAAATACTGTGATTGGCCAAGGAATTTTCACTTTTAACATTAAATCTAATGAACACATCCATTTGATTTTCTAAACATAACCAGATTTCTAGAGATTCTGCAGAAGTAGATTATAACATACCACAAAATCCTGCTTTTGTCAAATTGAATGGCAATGTAGACACCTTTTCCTGCCAGTATACCTAAAAAACTCTGTGTGGGGGATTTTGATCTACATGATTACATGTAAAGATTGCACTTTTAAGTTGGAGTGATATGCATCTTGTTATTGGCTTGTTGGGGTGCATTTATTCAGGATTTTTGACTGAATTGTTTGAAGTGACATCTATCAGTTGAGATCTTTTAAGTGCTTCTAATTAGTTATGCAGCTTTCATTTTTGCCTGTACCTGTTGTTTGTTTGATCCTAACTCAAATTCTTGCTTGTCTCAATGTATTTGATCTTAGTTTCTGAAGTGTTTTTCTAACAGCTAATCTTGTGAAGCTGTCCTATCTTTTTATATCCTTTTCATCACTTTATCATGCTTGGCTTGGCTTATAGTTTTACTGCACAAGATTTTGAAAGAAATCATAAAAATTTAAAATTAGTTTGCTTAGCATGTGCTTCTTTATGTAGTCTGCCACTTATGGTGAGTTGGTTTTTCAACTTGTAGGAATGGGATGGACTGATGCTGTCTAATTTTGCATTGGAGCAGCAATTACACACAGCAAGGCAAGAGCTAAGTCATGCTTTATATCAAGTAAGACCAACAAAGTCATGTGATATGACTATAAAGTTTCATGCCTTTATAGAGTTGTGGGAGTTTGTTGACTGGAAGTGATTTATGCTTCTTTATTCTGGCAATTGAGAATGGTCAACTTAAATTGCGCCTTCCATTGTTATATTTGAAAGTGCAAGTGGTTTATTGATTCATTAGAGTATGCGTTATAATTGTGTCTAATAGATGGCTCATTTCCAGAGGATTTTAAAGATAACTCTTGATGTTGTGATGCATGATAAAATTTCCAGTCTTTATAGATTTGTGGAAGTTTGTTGACTGGAAGTGATTCATGCTTCTATGTTCTGTTGTTCCAGTAATGGTCAATTTGAAATTTGCTTTCTATTGATATATTTGAATGTGCAATTGATTTATTGATTCATTAGATGAAGTGTTGTAGTTGTGTGTGATAAAGGAAAATTTCAGAAGATTTTAACATTTTAACTCTTGAAGCTGTCTTATGCATGAAAAACACATAATTTCATTTGTTCTTTTTAATTAAAAGTTTTAGTTTTTATTAATTATCAACTACAGCTTGTGCAAGTTAATTGTTTGTTTTATTGTATATAGATAAAAATTGATATAGTAAATTTTTTTAGATTCTGTGTCATATCAACAATAGTTTGTTACAACTGTTTTGTGTTTATTTTCTGGAGAATACTGCTCTGGTAATCTGGTTTTGTTATTAATTTTTTGTTCGATTCCAGTCATTTTTCCATTTTTGTTTACATGATTGTTTAATATTGAATTTAGTTTGAGTTACTTTATTTGCAATGCTAGAATGGCACTTAATTAGTTTAATCTATAGCATGATGCTGCTTGCCGAGTGATTGCAAGGCTTAAAAAGGAAAGGGATGAAGCAAGGTCATTACTTGCACAAGCAGAAAGGCAGTTCCCTGTTTCCGCACCAAATACAATGACAGCAAATGCTGTTGCTCTCAGCAATGGGAAAAGAGGTTTTTTTTTTTGGGGTCAATTTTACTTGTTCCTCTTTATCTTTTTTCAATGTTGAGAAAATCAGAATGGACCAGCATCAGACTGGCCCTGGAGGAGGCACACAACAGGCTTCTTACAAAATCAGTCAAACAAGAAAAATTAATGATATCATATATAGATTCTACCAACAAAGCTTTCTTACCTGATATCATATATAGACAGACACATGGTAATAAGTATTAATCCATTAGAATTTAATGAATTTAACCTTAATATCATGGTAATTGATTATTCAGTACTTTTTACTTTAATTTGAATATTAAGATATGAATGATCAAATGTATTATTAATTAATGCTATAGTTTCTTGTGTGTTTGTATATATTTAGATAATTATATAAATTTTTTAACTAATATGTCATTGAAATTAAAATATATTAATTTAAATATGATTGGTTTGACCACAATCCAACCATTGAACTGTGAACTAGTGTTTTGACTTATTCAATTGCCAGTCCTGTTTTCATAATATTTTTTTTTAATACTCTACTGTGGAACGGTTGTAGAGATGATATCTGTTGTAATCGGGTTTTTAATGTCTGCAATACTAACTTGAAGTGTTCTTTGTGTTTTAGCTGCTGAAGATGAGGAACTGGCCCCTGGTGGGAAGAAAATACATACTGGAATCACCACTGCCATAATTGATGAGCTGACTGAGTGTAATGCATCTCTGTCACAGCAGAGGAAAAAGCGGCAGGTATGCTAATATAAAAATTCATTCAGCATTGAATTTCCCATGCTTTCTCAATTTTTGTGGTCTTGTTTTATTTTTAATGGTCTTAGCTCTGCATGATTAAAGTTTTCAGGCTTGTCTGAATCTAATAATTTTTTTTTTCCTTTTTGAATTGTTTATTCAACTTACATGTTCTATCCTACCTATCTGGTCTGGTTAAATTGAAGTAATATTGGTGTGCTTCTGGTGAAAATGAGATTTGTTTTTTAACTGTCATCTGGCAAAATATTTTGACTTTTTCATGTGCAAGTCAAGCATTCTTCTTTACTTTTCTGATTTTGAGTTGGCTGTATGCACATGGTTATTATGTTTTTGTTTTCTTGTTTATTCAGATTCCTGCAACTTTGGCTCCTGTTGAGGCTTTAGAGGGATATACCCAAATATCCAGTCATCCCTTTCACAAAACGAGCAAACCAGGAATTGTATCTATGGATATCCTTTATTCTAAGGTATGGAATTCAATATCTAATTCGGTGGAACAATAGAATAAGGTGCAATTAATGTTTTGATAAGCTCTTTTGATGTCCTAATGAAGCTTGATTAGCAGTAGAAAGAAAGATAAGTGCAGCCTTGACATTTTAGTATGTTTATTGATGTATGAAAAGGGTTGTATTTGGCTATTTAAATTGTATAGCACGCTGATTTTCATAATAGTATTTGGCAATTTAGCTATTTATGCTTCCTTATCTGGTCTGCATTTTGAAGGATGGCATTTGTCTTTTTATTCTTATAGTCTTTTATGTGTTATCTTGACCATAACCTTTCTCTAATTGGTGCTATGTTTTTTTTTTTTACATTTTAATTTCCTTGGTGGGCCCATAACTTTTGAATGACCTGCTTAGGATGTTTACTGGACCTCTTGAGCATTCTTTGAACTTGACAATTACTGGGTACTGATAAATGATTATTTCTTGCTTGGTTAACAGGACTTAATTGCTACTGGAGGGCTAGATACGAATGCTGTAATTTTTGACCGGCCATCAGGGCAGATATTATCCACACTCAGTGGTCACTCAAAAAAGGTTTCTCTTATCCCCCCACTCCCAAAAAATAGGGGGGCAAAATAATAACTTGCTTGAATTTTCTTTCCCAAAAATCATTCATCTGATTAACCATTTTTTTGGGTAGGTTACAAGTGTGAAATTTGTAGCTCAGGGTGATCAGTTTTTAACCGGTTCAGCAGACAAGGTAAATTGCTGTTCGTTTGTAATTAATATGTTAGTATTCTTTCCTCTAGGTAAAATTCTTCCCTGATCTTTCGCATAAATTTTTGGCACAACAGCACGTAATCAAGATTGTGCTGCGTTAATTCATTCTCCATCTTTCAGTCTGTAGTAGGTTGTATTAGCCTTGCATTTTTGTTTTTAAGAAGTCATATAGTTAACTATCAGTTGCTATTTATAAACTAAAAAGGGTATTTATATGACTACAATTGTGACAATGAATTGACTTTAAAGGTGGAGAATAGTTTTGCCTGCAAATTTTTTCCTATGATATGCACGGTTACTATTACTGCATTATTTTAGTGGATTGATGTTCTTGTGCTTCCCCCCTCAAGTGTTCTTCAAGATATACCTCCTTTCTGTTTGTTTATTCTGTATTCTCTTTGCAGCTTGCTCTGATGCTCTGAGCACTTCATGAAATATATAATTAAGTAGTTGAATGCAAGTTTTACCGAGAGTGCAAATTCTATTACCAGTCTGTCGTTTTTATTAACTGTCTTCCATATTGATGAAGGATTCTTTATTCATATTGCAGACAGTTCGTTTGTGGCAAAGCTCAGATGATGGTAACTATGTCTGCAGACATGTATTGAAGGATCACACAGCTGAGGTAAATGAAATTTATTGCAGTAAATCACAATCCATGGCTAGTCTCTATTGAAAGATAGGTGTTAGCAGTTGAAATTGTTCGTGTGTGATCTCCATTTAATAGACATGCTTGTCCTATAATTATTAGTTCACAAATTTAAGCTTTGTGGGTTTCTTGTCCAATTTTTCATTTTACCTGATTACTGATTTCCCTGTTTTTCTTGCTTGGTTCATCAATTTTCACAAGTCTGTAGGGCATTCCTGGGATCTTCAGCAGAGGAATTTCATGAGCTAGATTTCTGTATGATAAATAGTATCACTAATCACTATGAATTGATGAAAAAATTGTTTCTAAAACTCACAAAATTCTTGAAAATTTGCTGCATGTGAAGTTGCATGTTCTTTGCTCCTGTAAAAGGACTTCATACTGTTCTGTACCTGAGGTCTTCTATTTTATGATTTACACTTTATTATGGTTGTCTCATTTAGCTGCTACGTAATGTAACAATGACATGCCTTTTCAATGTTTCAGGTGCAAGCAGTCACTGTCCATGCTACCAACAATTACTTCGTCACTGCTTCCCTTGACAACACGTGGTGCTTTTATGAGCTTTCTTCAGGGACATGTCTGAATCAGGTATGATCAGTTTTACAGACAAGCAATGAAGGCAAGGCACTCAAGATTTTAATCTTCAGTAAATAATCTCTCCGATATTGATATGCATTGGGCAAGATATACTTTTTCTTTTTTTGTTATCACTGTAATCCTCTCTTTGGATTTGGTAGGGTTTTCTGAAGACTGAATTTTCTGAATTTCTTGATATGTTCAATTAGAAAGACAAGTCATGATAAATTTTGCAGGTTTCAGACTCTTCTGGATCTTCTGGAGGCTATACATCTGCAGCTTTTCATCCTGATGGTCTCATTCTTGGAACTGGCACTGTAGAAGCTCTTGTTAAGATCTGGGATGTAAAAAGTCAGGTAGGTAGTCTCATTTCTTATATTCTAATATTGGTATCTGTAACGTTCCTGGGTGATAGTTTCTATATATATTTATTTTTACTTTATGTTCTTGCAGGCAAATGTTGCTAGATTTGATGGACATGTAGGGGCTGTGACTGCTATATCCTTTTCTGAGAATGGTTACTTCCTCGCGGTAGGTGACATAATGTAACACAAAAAGGCAGGATGGTTGTTCATAGTATTCTTATTATGCTCCTAAATTTGACAGACTGCAGCTCATGATGGTGTCAAACTATGGGATCTACGAAAACTGAAAAACTTCCGGACTTTTACTCCATATGATCCAGACACTCCAACAAATTCGGGTATTCATTTCCATATCATTCCTTTTTGATAGGCATGTATGCGCGTTGATAAAGGTATACATATTTTGAAAGATTTTCATGTGCTTGTGTTTGATGCATGCAGTGGAATTCGACCATAGCGGTTCCTACCTTGCAGTTTCAGGATCTGATGTAAGGTAAATGATGGTTATTGGAAAACTGCTGTTGAAGTGTAATGACTGAGTGAGATCCAAACCCATGATTAAACGAAATAATCTAATTATAATTCAATAATAAAGGGTGTACCCTAACATAGGTAGGCAATCAAGCAACCTCTTAAATTTATCTCAAGCACAAATTTTTCTTGTCTAGTTTATCTAATAAGACAATTCAACCAAAACCTTACTTTGGGATAAGATATCCTAAATCCTGCCGGGAGAATAAAAACTAATTCAAAGATCTGAATATATATTGGAAATTCAGAATCTTTAGTTACACTTTTAGTGCACTTTAAATAAAATGTTGAAGATTGATGTATTGATGCACTTATCTTTTTGGTTTTGCGATGCAAATCTAGTCCATTATGGGCTCTCGTGTTTAGCACCTATTGCTGATTATTGGGTTTTATTTTTTTTGAGTATTTTTTCTGTTTTTATTCTTCTGTTTTATTTGTAATTTTTTAGGATAGAATCTGTTTGAAATTATCTGAATCAAATAAAATGATTTACCCTAGGCTACCTAGCTAGAGATGGAAGGCTTGTTGGCTTCACTCTATAAAGTTGCCCGACTAGCAGAATAAAGAGTAACGAATTGAACAAGACAATAGTGACGAATTTATTCGTACAATAATACTTATTCCCCCCCCCCCAAAAAAAAAAAAACCCTTTTCATAATGCATTGTCCTTTCTTTTAAAAAGAGAACTTTTGACTTTTTAAAGGGAGAAATAGTTTAAATAAGACGACGGGCTTGATATGCATTTATTTGAAGAAAGCATTGGGGAGGTGGTTGTAAAAACATCAACAACAACAACAACAACAACAAGCCTTTATCCTACTAGGTGGGGTCGGCTACATGGATTGCAAGACGCCATTGTGCTCTATCATTTATTAAGCTTTTAGAAATATTATTAATTAAGAGATCACGTTCAACAACTTCCAAGAGTGTTCTCTTAGGCCTTCCTCTACCTCTCTTAATCGGACTCAAAGTTATATGTTCCACTCTTCTCACTGGTGCCTCCCTTGGTCTTCTTTGTACATGCCCAAACCATCTCAACCGATTTTCTACCATTTTTTCCTCAATAGGTGCCACCCTCACTTTTTCACGTATGTGCTCATTTCGAATTTTATCTTTACGTGTATGTCCGCACATCCATCGTAACATTCTCATCTCTGCTACTCCAACTTTATGCTCTTGCTGTCCCGTTAGAGCCCAGCATTCACTACTATATAACATTGCCGGTCTGATAGCAGTACGATAAAACTTTCCTTTAAGTTTATTAGGCACCTTACGGTCACAAATAACTCCTTTAGCTTTTCTCCAATTAAACCACCCAGCTTGAATTCTATGTGAAATATCTCCACTGATTTCGCCATCATTTTGAATAATGGCTCCGAAATATCTAAACTTTTCCACTTGAGGTATAATTTGATCTCCCAATTTCACTTCCAAATTATTTTCGAATAGTCCTTTACCAAATTTACAATATAAATATTCCGTCTTACTTCTACTCAGACGAAAACCTTTCGACTCCAATGTCCTCCTCCATAACTCAAGTTTGCAATTAACCTCTTCTCTTGTCTCTGCTATAAGAACTATATCATCCGCAAAGAGCATACATTTCGGGATTTCCTCTTGAATATGTTCCGTCAAAACATTTAAAATCAAGTTGAACAAATAAGGACTCAGAGATGATCCCTGATGTAGTCCAATCTTTATAGGAAAATCCTTTGTTTGACCACTAGGCGTTCTTATACTAGTTTTTACCCCCTCATACATATCTTGTATGGCTTTAATATAAGCAATCCGTACTCCCTTTTTTTCCAACGCTTTCCAAAGCACTTCTCTTGGTATACGGTCATAAGCTTTTTCCAAATCAATAAAAACCATGTGTAGATCTTTATCTTTACAACGATACTTTTCCATTAATCCCCTTAGTAGATAAATCGCCTCTGTAGTTGATCTACCTGGCATAAAACCAAATTGATTCTCAGAAATACTTGTCTCCAATCTCAACCTGTGCTCAATTACTTTCTCCCACAATTTCATTGTGTGGCTCATGAGTTTAATCCCTCTATAGTTAGTACAATTCTGAATATCTCCTTTATTTTTATAAATAGGAATTAATGTACTTCTCCTCCACTCATCAGGCATTTTCTTGGACCGTAAAATCACATTAAATAACTTAGTTAACCATCTCACCCCTTCTTCACCTAAACATTTCCACGCTTCGATAGATATACAATCAGGTTCGTTAGCTCTACCATTTGCCATTTTCTTAAGAGCTTCCTTTACCTCCTTATCACGTATTTTTCGATAGAATGACAAATTTTGTTCTCCTTCACCAGTTACTAAATCCTCCAAGTTACTAGATGAATCCTCTCCATCATTGAAAAGTTTAGAAAAATAAGTCTCCCATCTATTTTTAATTTCATCATCTGTAACTAAAATTCTTCCCTCTTCATCCTTAATACACCTTACCTGTTCTAGATCTCTTGATTTTCTTTCCCTACTCTTGGCAATCTTATAAATATTTTGCTCTCCTTCCTTCGTCTGAAGGTTCTTATAAAATTCTTCAAAAGCTTTGGAACGAGCTTCACCCACAGCTCTCTTAGTTTCCTTCTTAGCCATACGGTACCTCTCCCAATTTTCCTCATTGTTACACAAATGTATGGCTTTAAAACAGTTCTTCTTATACTTGATTTTGTCCTGTACACTATTATTCCACCATCAAGACTCCTTATCTCTCGGACCAAAACCTTTCGATTCTCCCAAAACTACTTTTGCAACCTCCCGTATCTTTTTAGCCATATCCTCCCATATGATGTTAGCACTTCCCTGAGAATCCCAAATTCCTTTATACAAAAGATTTCGCTTGAAAATATCTTGCTTCTCACCTTTTAATTGCCACCACCTAATCCTTGGTGTTATTACTTGTCGACGTTTTTGGATTTTACTCAACTCCGCCTATGTTTATAGCCGGTCCCAAGCCCGGGTAAAGGAGGAGGGTTGTGTTAGGCCATCAACAGCCAATGTAAAAATTTGTTGAATCTATCATGAACATGGACAATAGACGTTATAATGTTAATGCTAGGTCGTTGCCCGTAAGTAACGCGTTGCATGGCTCGAGTACAGTGATAAGTGAGTTAGAGCCGCTGCATCGGCGCCCGGATGTAGTGTTAAATGAGCAAGGGCTACCACGTCATTCTGGACGCACGCGGCTAAAGAAGTTAGTCCATAAGAGCAAAATTAGATTTGGTACTTGGAATGTTGGGACATTAAATTGTAAATCTGTAGAGGTTGTAGGGGTTATGATTTAAAGGAAAATCAATATCCTTTGCTTGCAAGAAACAAAATGGCGTGGAGAAGAAGCTAAGGATATTCAAGGTTTCAAACTTTGGTATACAGGAAAAGTAAGTGCACGCAATGGAGTAGGCATCATTATAGATAAGGAGTGGAAGAAGAACGTTGTAGAAGTCAGCAGAATTGGAGACAGAATTATTTCTTTAAAAATGATAATTGGACGTGAGACTGTTAATATTGTTAGCGCTTATGCGCCGCAAGTCGGGACAGAAGCCAGTCTTAAGGAATTATTTTGGGAGGATCTGGAGGGGTTGATTCGACACATACCACAGAGTGAAAAGATTTTTATTGGAGGAGACTTTAATGGGCATGTCGGGAGGGAAGCTGGTCAGTATGCGAGGGTGCATGGTGGTTTTGGTTTTGGAGAGCTAAACAATGAAGGGCAAACTTTCTTGATTTCTCATTGGCGTATGATTTTAAGATTGCCAACACTTGTTTCAAGAAGAGAGATGAGCATCTCATCACCTACAAAAGTGGAGCCTCAAGATCGCAGATTGATTTTCTTTTGGTTAGGAACACAGATAGAAAACTTTGTAAAAATTGTAAGGTGATCCCTGGAGATGCTGTAACGACACAACATAGGGTCCTAGTCCTTGATGTGTGTATTATGAGTAAAATCCAAAAACGTCGACAAGTAGTAACACCAAGGATTAGGTGGTGGCAATTAAAAGGTGAGAAGCAAGATATTTTCAAGCGAAATCTTTTGGATAAAGGAATTTGGGATTCTCAGGGAAGTGCTAACATCATATGGGAGGATATGGCTAAAAAGATACGGGAGGTTGCAAAAGTAGTTTTGGGAGAATCGAAAGGTTCTGGTCCGAGAGATAAGGAGTCTTGGTGGTGGAATAATAGTGTACAGGACAAAATCAAGTATAAAAGAACTGTTTTAAAGCCATACATTTGTGTAACAATGAGGAAAATTGGGAGAGGTACCGTATGGCTAAGAAGGAAACTAAGAAAGCTGTGGGTGAAGCTCGTTCTAAAGCTTTTGAAGAATTTTATAAGAACCTTGAGACGAAGGAAGGAGAGCAAAATATTTATAAGATTGCCAAGAGTAGGGAAAGAAAATCAAGAGATCTAGAACAGGTAAGGTGTATTAAGGATGAAGAGGGAAGAATTTTAGTTACAGATGATGAAATTAAAACTAGATGGGAGACTTATTTTTCTAAACTTTTCAATGATGGAGAGGATTCATCTAGTAACTTGGAGGATTTAGTAACTGGTGAAGGAGAACAAAATTCTATCGAAAAATACGTGATAAGGAGGTAAAGAAGCTCTTAAGAAAATGGCAAATGGTAGAGCTAACGGACCTGATTGTATATCTATCGAAGCGTGGAAATGTTTAGGTGAAGAAGGGGTGAATGGTTAACTAAGTTATTTAATGTGATTTTACGGTCCAAGAAAATGCCTGATGAGTGGAGGAGAAGTACATTAATTCCTATTTATAAAAATAAAGGAGATATTCAGAATTGTACTAACTATAGAGGGATTAAACTCATGAGCCACACAATGAAATTGTGGGAGAAAGTAATTGAGCACAGGTTGAGATTGGAGACAAGTATTTCTGAGAATCAATTTGGTTTTATGCTAGGTAGATCAACTACAGAGGCGATTTATCTACTAAGGGGATTAATGGAAAAGTATCGTTGTAAAGATAAAGATCTACACATGGTTTTTATTGATTTGGAAAAAGCTTATGACCGTATACCAAGAGAAGTGCTTTGGAAAGCGTTGGAAAAAAAGGGAGTACGGATTGCTTATATTAAAGCCATACAAGATATGTATGAGGGGGTAAAAACTAGTATAAGAACGCCTAGTGGTCAAACAAAGGATTTTTCTATAAAGATTGGACTACATCAGGGATCATCTCTGAGTCCTTATTTGTTCAACTTGATTTTAAATGTTTTGACGGAACATATTCAAGAGGAAATCCCGAAATGTATGCTCTTTGCGGATGATATAGTTCTTATAGCAGAGACAAGAGAAGAGGTTAATTGCAAACTTGAGTTATGGAGGAGGACATTGGAGTCGAAAGGTTTCCGTCTGAGTAGAAGTAAGACGGAATATTTATATTGTAAATTTGATAAAGGACTATTCGAAAATAATTTGGAAGTGAAATTGGGAGATCAAATTATACCTCAAGTGGAAAAGTTTAGATATTTAGGAGCCATTATTCAAAATGATGGCGAAATCAGTGGAGATATTTCACATAGAATTCAAGCTGGGTGGTTTAATTGGAGAAAAGCTAAAGGAGTTATTTGTGACCGTAAGGTGCCTAATAAACTTAAAGGAAAGTTTTATCGTACTGCTATCAGACCGGCAATGTTATATAGTAGTGAATGCTGGGCTCTAACGGGACAGCAAGAGCATAAAGTTGGAGTAGCAGAGATGAGAATGTTACGATGGATGTGCGGACATACACGTAAAGATAAAATTCGAAATGAGCACATACGTGAAAAAGTGAGGGTGGCACCTATTGAGGAAAAAATGGTAGAAAATCGGTTGAGATGGTTTGGGCATGTACAAAGAAGACCAAGGGAAGCACCAGTGAGAAGAGTGGAACCTATAACTTTAAGTCCGATTAAGAGAGGTAGAGGAAGGCCTAAGAGAACACTCTTGGAAGTTGTTGAACGTGATCTCTTAATTAATAATATTTCTAAAAGCTTAATAAATGATAGAGCACAATGGCGTCTTGCAATCCATGTAGCCGACCCCACCTAGTGGGATAAAGGCTTGTTGTTGTTGTTGTTGTTGTTGTTTTGTTTTTGGATTTTACTCATAATACACACATCAAGGACTAGGACCCTATGTTGTGTCGTTACAGCATCTCCAGGGATCACCTTATAATTTTTACAAAGTTTTCTATCTGTGTTCCTAACCAAAAGAAAATCAATCTGCGACCTTGAGGCTCTACTTTTGTAAGTGATGAGATGCTCATCTCTCTTCTTGAAACAAGTGTTGGCAATCTTAAAATCATACGCCAATGAGAAATCAAGAAGAGTTTGCCCTTCATTGTTTAGCTCTCCAAAACCAAAACCACCATGCACCCTCGCATACTGACCAGCTTCCCTCCCGATATGCGCATTAAAGTCTCCTCCAATAAAAATCTTTTCACTCTGTGGTATGTGTTGAATCAACCCCTCCAGATCCTCCCAAAATAATTCTTAAGACTGGCTTTTGTCCCGACTTGCGGCGCATAAGCGCTAACAATATTAACAGTCTCACGTCCAATTATCATTTTTAAAGAAATAATTCTGTCTCCAATTCTGCTGACTTCTACAACGTTCTTCTTCCACTCCTCTATAATGATGCCTACTCCATTGCGTGCACTTACTTTTCCTGTATACCAAAGTTTGAAACCTTGAATATCCTTAGCTCCTTCTCCACGCCATTTTGTTTCTTGCAAGCAAAGGATATTATTTTTCTTTGAATCATAACTCCTACAACCTCTACAGATTTACAATTTAATGTCCCAACATTCCAAGTACCAAATCTAATTTTGCTCTTATGGACTAACTTCTTTAGCCGCGTGCGTCCAGAATGACGCGGTAGCCCTTGCTCATTTAACACTACATCCGGGCGCCGATGCAGCGGCTCTAACTCATTTATCACTGTACTCGAGCCATACAGCGCGTTACTTACGGGCAACGACCTAGCATTAACATTATAACGTCTATTGTCCATGTTCATGATAGATTCAACAAATTTTTACATTGGCTGTTGATGGCCTAACACAACCCTCCTCCTTTACCCGGGCTTGGGACCGGCTATAAACATAGGCGGAGTTGGTTGTAAAAACATCAATTGAAAAAAATTTAAAATTTTGGAGTTTACAAGGCATTGTGTTTCAAAAGCCAAAATTTTAATTTGATATGCAGTTTTCTGAAACTTTATGTCAACATCATTATTTAACTATACCTGAATTCTTACTCCAATTTGAAGAATTCAGCATTCTGCACTGCTTGCTTACTTTCTTGGGCACTATTCTCTTCACATGTTCAATAAGGCATCAAGTGGCCATTAGAACGTTGGCAGTTTTACCCTCTCCATTTTGAAGAGCTGAAAACATTTCTTGTTTGTTTTCTCTAAGTTCCACTAGTTTCGTTATCAGCACTGAATAATAAACTGTCATTATAGCAGTCCTTCGGTTATCCGAGCCGAAAGTAACCAAATCTTATAATTTCTATGATCATGTCTACAGATTCATTCTTCATCATTAGGACATTGCTGAGTTATTTGTTTATTTTCCTTTGGAAAAGCATAATTTTAGGTTCTTGCACTTTGCTCGTGTTTTGTTATTGGTCTTTGTATTTTTTTTTTTAATATTCTAGGTCCCTAATCCAGAACACCAAAAAAAACAAAAGTGCAGGGACCTAAAACACAAAAAAAAAAAGTGTAAAGACCAATAGCAAAATGAGAGCAAAATGCGGGGACTCAAATTTATGTTTTCCTTTCCCTATCTGTGAAAGGTTACCATGCATTTAGTATCTTTACTGTCTTCATTATTAATAACTAGAAGCCTAATCATGCTTGTCTTCATGGATATATATTTGTTTGTTGATTATAACTAATTAGCATCATAAGTCAATATAGTCATGATTACTTAACAATAGAGGATATTGTGGATCCTCTATATGAGTCTTGTTTAACTAGGTGGGTATCAGCTGCATAGAGTGCATGATGTCATTGTGCTTTATCAATGACCAAGCCTTTGGATATATTGTTAACTAGAGGTTTGGTTAAACAATTTGCTTGAGTGTTTTCTTTAGTCTTCCTTTGACCCTCTTCATGGTTCAAGACTATCCGTTCAACTCCTTACTAGTGCCCTCCAAGGCCTTGTATGTATATGTTCAAATCATCTCAAATGATTTTCTATTATCTTCTCAATATTTGCTACATTTATTTTTTCTCGTATTTGCTCATTGCAAATTTTATCTTGTGTACACTCACATCCATTTTATCATTCTCATTTTGTTATTCCAACTTTGTTTCCTCGTCTTTTTAAAGCCTAAGATTTACTATCATATAACCTGATTGGTATTATAGCTGTTCGATAAGACTTTCCAGTCACAAATAATTCTTGTAGCCTTTTTCAATTTGAGCCAACTAGCTTGTATTTTATGTGTAACATTCGTATGAATTTCACCAGCATTTTGAATTATTGTTCCTAAATATCTAAACTTTTTACTTGTGGTATGATTTGATTTCTCTGTCTCACTTTTAAATTACTACTAATTGACTTCTTATCAAAATTACAATGCATATATTTTATCTTACTCCTCAAGCAGAAGCCCTTCGACTCTAAGGTCCTTCTACATGACTTAAGTTTGGAGTAAATCTCCTCTTGACTTCGCAATTAGAACTATGTTATTTGCAAAAGGCATACAATTGCAATTAGAACTATGTTATTTGCAAAAGGCATACAATTGGGGGTTTTCTCTTGAATATGTTCAGTCAGAGCATCTAAAACCATGTAAAACAAGTGAGGACTCAAAGATGATCTTATAGGAAAGTGCTTTGTCTAACCAAATGTTCTTATACTAGTTGCTGCCCTCTCATACATATCTTTTACATATTTGATTTAAGCAACCCGAACTCCTTTCTTTTTTGAGGCTTTCCAAAGTACTTTTCTTAGTATATAATCATAAGCTTTTTCCAAATCAATAAAAATCATGTGTAATTTCTATTTTTGCTTTGATACTTTTCCATTAATTCCTAAATATATCAGTTATGGTGTTGCTCCTTTTGGCATGGAACCAAATTGATTCTCAAAAATACTATTTCTAAGCTCAACTTATGTTCAATCACTGTTTCCCACAATTTCATAGTGGGGGTCCTATGTATTGCTCAAAATTTGGAAAATGAGTCATTGTTCACAGCTTATGAATAGTGCAGCTTATGTGAGATTGTATAACCTAGAGTTGCAAGGGCTAAGAGTATCAGGACATATGGAATTCACCCTCAAGATTTAACCTCCAATTCTTAATTTTGTAGTGGTGTTTATCCTTGATTCATAGTCTACCTAGGGGCTAATGACATCATTTACTTGAACTATAACGAAACCATAAAAGTATTTTGCACTGTAAAGGCCTGAAATTTGTAAACCCATATAACATTGAAAAAAAAAAAAAATTCTTGAAATGATAAGGTGGAGGGTTGGAGTAAAAATTAACTTAAAATTGAATTCTGGTCATGCAAAGATCTTATGTTACCATGGGGAAAATTTCTGGTCATGCAAAGATCTATGTTACCATGGGGGAAAACCTGAAAATGACCCTGTTGAATGTTCAATGGCTCTGATCTGCTTGAACGGGGGGCCTAAGATCAGCTTTTGCATCCTCTTCATTATGCTGAACGCTCTCTCTTAATTTTATTTGTTGTTAGACTTACCTGTGGTGGCTGGTTACTTGTGCAGGATTTACCAAGTTGCAAATGTGAAATCTGAATGGAACTGCATTAAAACTTTCCCTGATTTGTCTGGAACAGGTTCGTTATTTTTGCCCTCAGGCTTTTCTTTCCTAGTTTGTCATGTTCTGTAGTTACTAAGATGCATACACGTAATTCTTTCACAGGAAAAGCCACCTGTGTTAAATTCGGTCCAGATGCAAAATATGTAGCAGTCGGATCGATGGACCGTAATCTTCGAATATTCGGCCTGCCCAGCGAAGATGGCACTACTGAGTGATAAGCTGCCACCAGTTGGGAACGTCCAATTTGATGGATTGAAAGCAAAAGTTGCTGCAGTTGTAGTTTCAATGCGTGGTCTACTTTGGTGGATTTGAAGAGTCAATGAAAGTTGTGATTCTTCTGATTGTTGAGTGTTTTGGAGCTTCTGGATGGAGGCAGTGTACTTCCAGAATTTCTGCAGCAGCGTTACTTGTATTGTTGCCCTTGTCCATAATCGGAGAGGACTGGAAACATAAAGCATACGATTAATCTGTATTATTCTTAGCAGTTAGATTATTTTGTAATGTGATTCCTTACTAGTGAGGTAACTGAAATTTGTCGGCCATTTTCTATTTTCTTGTACTAATTTTGAAGATTCTAGCATTTTTGTTGATTTAATAGACATGACTGACCTTAACTAGTAAACAAAGTATGGCAAGACTGAAAATACCCAAACCATCTCATCATCATCATCATCATTTTATTTTTTTTGAAGAACGTAACATAAATCTCTTGGAATAGGTCATTGTCAGGACTGTTAAGTATTCTTAAGTCAATAGTTGTATGTGGATATTTATGAGCTCTTTGTAGTAATGATATCTTTTCCTATCTTAGTTAATTTAATTGATGTTGGTTGACGCTCATATTAGAACTTCCAATGCAAGCCATAATCACCTTACAAAGTTGCTCTTCAATACCCAATTCAATTAGAACGACTATGATGCTCTCTTCCATTTCATTCTGCCATACGCTTTCTTTAAATCAACTTTGACAGCCACCATTCTACAATGTTGCCTCAGGTTTGAGCTAAACCTTGATCCTCCAAGGGTGGACTGCTAAACCTAATACTTTCCAAACTTAAAACTAATTATTCTGGACTTGATTGAACCAAATAAACTAGAAGATCCTATGTCATTATGCTTAAAAATAATGTAACACATTGTGAACCGATGCCTGTTAGTACAATTTAACCTTTAATAAATTAGTTACTGAAGAGCAAAACAACATTTCCAATTCCATGATTCAATTACTATTTTAATTTTTTACATGTAACCCTTTTAAATTTTAAATTACTTGCAATCTTTCATGGTGTATTTGGTTTGGAAGGAAATAGAAGAGAGGGGGGGGGGAGTTATTTATAAGTTCAATATATATAAAAAATTTGGACGCGTGGGGTTGAAAGCTTTTAATTAATTTTCCTAGCTCTTTTATCTTATAACATTTTCTCTTAATTAAAATTTTATGATCCCACTCATTCATTTATTTTAAATAAACTCATTAAAATCTTCCATCTTCTTTATTTCCCTCCGACCAATACAGGGAGTTAAGGTTTGGGCCATATGTAAATTAATCTCTACATGACATGTTATATTATGTCTGTGAAAAGAAATAATGAAATAATCAATCAAATAATAACATATATAAGATTGATTCCCAAAAACAAAAAAACATATATAAGATTTATCTACCCAAAGTGTAAGATATAATTATAGTGGCAGACCAACTTTCAAGTGAGGATGGGTTGATGCTTCTTCAATTTCTGAAAATACCATTTAATTAGTGATCAAATTTTTTGAAGAGGAGCATCCAATACTTTAAAATATTTCGCGTAATATTTTTTCTTTTTAAGTAATTACATTGAAGCAATTTCCCCCTTCTCATTGAGAGCAAATGGCTGTTAATTTGGGTAGTGTGGGACCCATGTTAATGTTTAGATGGCATCTGCATGGAAAATAAAAAAAAAAAAAGAACTTCTCTCTCTCTTCATCAACAACAAAACCCACATGCTTCTTGAACTTGTTCATCGTCTTCAGCCTGAATAGCAACGCCACCATTTGCAATAGAGAAAACATTATATTGTTCCCATGAACATAGGTGACATTATTTTCTTCGCCATGAACAAGATTAGTTGTTCATCGTCCATGTTCTCCGCTACATGTATCTACCTCGAAATCCTAATCCTTCTTCCCTAACGTCTTCACTATATCTTCTAGCACTTGCACTATATATATATATATATATATATATATCCATAGAGTTATAGAGAAGGAGAGATAGGGAAGACAAGCATAAAAGCTCATTTAAGAGATACTCCAATTCTTACAAGTATATATTGTCTATATACACAGCTAAATAACTTGGCACTAGCTGGCAGGAATTGTAACAACTTAACTGACGTGTACCAACTGATGAATAATAAAACTGATTCTACAAAAACTTATCTAATATAATATAACTAACTTTAATAATGATTGAATAAAGTATATGTCTTCCTAGTTCTTGAACTATACAGTACAATAGCAGAAGTAAACACAGTAATACTTTATGCGAAATCAAAAAAGAAACAAGCTTCCTAAATCGCACCTCGGCAATGAGCAGCCAAGGATGTCCTTCTAGACGTGTGGGCGTCTCTCTTTTCAATGGCTTTACCTTCGATCACGTCCATGGCACCAAGGTCGGTGACACTATCTTCAACAGTTTTGGCTGTTGAACTTCTTGCTTAACGTCACATGTGCAGGGGAATATCTCTCCCTATTTAACTCTATTTTATGAGACATAAAACAGAGATAAACCAAGTAAACCTATAAAAACAGCGAAAGAAGCTGCAAATATATCACATGTGCTGGGGAGTATGTCTTAACCGTATATGTTATAACTAGCAGAACATCCATGAAATTTAGTTTAATGGCGATATATAAGTCTTAAGTGTGCGAAGGGACTATGAAAACAGAAAATTTTCATTAATTCAAACAATAAAGAAAATAACATCAGGAATGAAAAGAAGAGAAGAATAACGAGAATGAAATAATGAAACCGTGTCTTCTCATTTTTGGAATCGCAAACCCTAGACTATCGTATAGCAACTCTGAAATGTTCAAGTTTGAATTCGTTGTTCTTGTTCTCTCACACTTGTCACACAAATGGGGCCCACAAGAAATGTAACGGATGTTTGGAAGATTTAGCATCAGGGTACTCGTTGCTCTGACTTAATTATTTAAAGGGCAAGAATGTTACGTGAAATAATTTAGAGTATTGAGTTTTTCTTCGAAAAAACTTTAGGAATAAAAATACACTTTTATCCTATTTAAAAATTATAAAATAATTATCAATACTTTATATTATAGACTGAATGGAGTATGAGTTCATGATCATTTAGTTGTTTGTAATTAGTTAAAAGTTAATAAAAATGATTTCAGTAAGATTATAAATTTTATAACATTTAAATATAATAATATAACATTCAAATATATTTTTATATAATAGTTATCAATACTTTTTTTAAAAAAAAAACTAAAAAATATTGCCCCTGCGCTGAGTTCATTAGGTCTGTCCACTACTATGAACATAATCAAAAGATGAAAAATATTATGGGTAACTAAACAATCAAATAACTAATCTACTTCAGAAAACATTGAGCAATAAAAAAATATATTTTTAACTTAAAAAATTAAGAGAATTTAATTAATTATATCAAAATTTAAAAATGAAATAAGAACTTGTATATATAGACAATCTGAAGTTCCAATGAGTTATATACAAATTAATCTTTCATTAAAGTAGATATAATATAAAATTCAAGAAATTGGTTCTATATAGACCTTACTTCCTTTACACATTAATTCGCTCCTCTACCTCCAAGACCCTCCATCATTTCTCAAGCCACAAATCCTACTCCAATGAGTTCCATTGTTTCTTCTTCTCAATCCCCAAATCCTTACATTCCCAACCACATTCCTGACCCCTTCTACGTTCGAATCCTCGATACCACCCTCCGCGACGGCGAGCAATCCGCTGGAGCTTCGATGAACTCGAAGCAGAAGCTGGAGATCGCACGGCAGCTCGCCAAGCTCGGTGTCGATGTCATTGATGCCGGGTTCCCTGCGTCTTCAAAAGACGACTTCCACGCTGTGAAGATCATAGCTCAGGAGGTCGGCAATGCCGTGGACGACGACGGGCACGTGCCGGTGATATCAGGAGCTTGTAGATGTACTGAGAATGATATTAGGAGTGCATGGGACGCAGTGAAGTATGCGAAGAGGCCAAGGATTCAGACGTTTATAGCGACCAGTGAGATTCATATGAAGTATAAGTTGAAGAAGACGAAAGAGGAGGTAGTTGAGACTGCTCGGAGAATGGTGAACTTTGCTCGGAGCTTGGGCTGCCATGATATAGGGTTTTGTGCTGAAGATGCTGCCAGGTTTAATTTTAATTTCTTCCTTCTGAATTATTTTGCTTTGTTAGTTATAATTTTTTAATCCAGCTTCGTCTAATTGTTTGACAAACTAGATCTTTGGCTGAAAGCTAATTAAGCTACAATACGCACCCATTCATGACTCGGGCTAGGGGTCTCTAATGTGCCAATTCTAATGCCTTTTGTAATGTCCCAACTTTTCAATTTCATTTTTTATTTTTCTTTGAATCATTGGCTTCTAAATAAAATAAGAAACATTTGGATATCTTGATGTCCCAAAATGATGAAGATTTGTATTTTTTATGATTTTTCAAAAATAAAAGGGTGTATTTGTGATATTTTTCTTTAAAAAATTATAAAAAATACAAATCTTCACCATTTTGGGATATCAAAATATCCAAATGTCTCTTATTTTATGTAGAAGCCAATGATCCAAAAAAAATGAAAAATGAAATTGGGAAGTTGGAACATTACAAGGGACATTAGATAAGGGCACATTAGAGACCCCTAGCCCTTCATGACTCAGGGTGCATCTTCTAGTAAAAGTAAATGTTCGTTCGGTTTCAAAGACCTGAAAGATCAAAACCAATAAAAGTGATCCCCCCCCCACCCCTTTCCTTCGTGAAACGCAAATACGTACAGAACCAATTAATTATAAAAGTGATTATAAAGAATATAGAGACAAGTAAAACCTAATCAATAACACGTAAAAAAATCATTTCTTTTTTTAAGTTCAAATTCGTGTACTCTTTATATAAATAAAGCTTCAAGAACAACATTCAATTTGTAATATTTTTTTAATATATCTATATTTATCTAGTATTAGTTGATCATTGTTGTATCTAATTGAAGATATATAGCCCTTCCATAGATATTTTCTACATTTAGATGGACTCGATTGAAACCAAAATTTGGTGATTAAGTGAATATACTTGGCATATTTTGTTGAGGGTGTAGCAGAACTTGAAAATGACATTAATTGAACATATTTTCCTGTCTATATATACCAAGATAAATATATTTTTTTATAAATTATGTAAAGTGTAGCCTGTAATAGATTTTGTATTATATATAATGATTGATTGATATTGATTCAACGAAGAACTAATGAATATTACTATAGCATATAACTTTAGTGCAGACGGAATCTTCAAAATATGAAGAGGAAGTCGTCGTAATCAGTAACAGATTAAGTGACAATGGATGCTCAATAATTATAATATTTAAAAAGTTGAGTTACGTTGTCACCAATAAAAAAAATGATATAACCTTTTTGTCTGTAACTATATGTATTGGGATTAACTTTAAAACTTACTTACGAGTCATAGAACGTCATTTTCCTTTTCGCCTTTGGTCTTTGCTAAGCTATATACGTTGTTTTTTCATGAAATTCACCAGCTCATATATAATCAAAAACAATTATTATTATTATAATATAAATCTATCTCCTCATCATTAGGATTGAATTGATCTCAACGTACACAGATCGAAGAGGGAGTTTCTTTATGAAATATTTGGACAAGTTATAAGAGCTGGGGCAACAACTGTGATCGTTGCAGACACTGTGGGCATAAGCATGCCAAGTGAGTATGGCAAATTGATTGCTGATATCAAAGCCAATACGCCTGGGATTCAAAATGCTATTATTGCTTCGCATTGCCACAATGATCTTGGCCTCGCCACTGCTAACACCATAGAGGTATATATATCAAAATAAGATTTTGTAAAAAGGTTAAAGTGCATTTTTATCCCACAACTATCAACTAAATTTACATGTGATAAAATTTCTCCTTTTAAGATTTTGAAATGGTGCACTAGACAACTTATCATTAAAAAAAATTAATTTTGACGGTTAGGTAAAAAAATTATAGACAATGACTTATAAAATTAAATTACAAATAAATACCCTATAAGAAAATTAATATCAATTGATGGTACTTAATTGGTACTCCCTCCAATATAGGGTATCTTCTAAAAATTTTATTTGGTCCAAGATATAGGACATTAGGTAATTTTTATAATTATTTTTTCAACTACCCCTACTTCATTTATTACTCTTTTTTAAAAAAAATGATAAATTAAAATTTTAATTATCATTATCAAAGTATTTATATAGGGTATTTAATGAGGGTAAAATTGAAAAGATATAATTTTTTAAGAAATTAAAGTTTTAATTAATATTTTTTAAAAATCATGAATTGGTACCAATACCCTATATATTGGTCCAAAAGGAGTATTGATTTTCATATGGGGTATTTATATGTAATTTTTGGATCCTTTTCTTCCATTTCTAAGTTAATTAACCTTCAAAACTAACTTTTTTAATGACAAGGTATTAAATGAACAATTTTCAAAAGTTGAAAAGAAAAACTGCACCACATATATAAGTTTAGGATACTTGATGCTTTTGAGCGAATAATTGAGGAGCAAATTGCCGTTTAACGCTTCTCTAAAATGGTATATATAAAAGAGAATTTTGGGAGATTTGTTTTCGTTTGAATATAATTATAACAGATAAAAGACTTCTATTTGATGCATTAATTTCATTATTTCGATTATACCCTTTATTAAATTGAGAGTAGTAGTTAAAATTCCTAAAAAATAAGGCAAAAGTTCAAACAATATTTAATTTGGTTCATTTGTGAAAAAAATTCAATTAATTTGCGACATATTTACTTGTTCATGCATGTGACAAATAAATTGACAATGCGCCACGTCATGAATGGCAAAAGATCAATTCATGCATGATGACAGATTTATTTAACCACACCCAACAAAAACTTGAACTTAATATATAATATTGGTTGTTTTCAGGGTGTATGTAGCGGTGCAAGGCAATTGGAAGTAACAATAAATGGGATTGGTGAAAGGGCTGGTAATGCATCTTTAGAAGAGGTAAATATAATTATGTAAATCATCATCTTCTATTAACATAATCATATATTCAAGAATACTCAATATATAATGGTTTTATCAACATTATTTAGGTTGTCCCTTTACACGTTGATAGAGCACATGATCACAATATATTGTTCAAATTTAACTTAATTGAAAGACTAAATAACAAGGGCAAAAAATTTTGACCATTCAACAATGATAAAAGCTCCAATAAATTAATTAGATGTCTCTTGAATCTTTGTGACATTTCACAACCTTCCTTTTTATTTTTTTAAAATTGGAATAAATTTCCCTAAAAGATAAAAAAGGTTTAACAGTAATTTGATACCTAAACTTAACTCTAGGATTATCTCAAACCCTAAACTCATTTTTTATATAATATTCTCCCTTAACTTTTGAAAATAATGTAATGTAACTCTTACTATTAATAAAAATGAACTCTGACTATAGTTAATTGACCAAAAAATGATAAAAAAATAACATTAAAAATTACATAAAAGAACATAGAAATTTAATTTTTTGAGTCCTTAATTATAATTTTTGGTCATTTTTTATAATTTTTTTGATCCTTCACTATAATATAATTTTCTTAATCATCTAATAATCAAAATTAACTTTTGCCAATGATAAGATTACATTGAACTATTTTTAAAAGTTGAAGACATTGCATACAAAATGAGTTTAGGGTCTCAAATACTCATAGAACTATAATTTAGAAGCTAAATTTTCCTTTAACCCAATAAAAAAATAAATTGCATAATTAAGAGTTCCAAAAATGTATAGGTCTTCATTTCTATATATAGTGGTCCAAATCTGTGCCTAATTAATTAATTCCCTTTTCTCTTAAGGTTGTGATGATCTTGAAATGCGGTGCGCATCATGTGCTTGGCGGACTCTATACAAGGATAAACACACGACAAATATTTAGGACCAGCAAAATGGTTTGATATTTAAAATATAGTTTTGATTTTTGTTCTCTCTTTTATTAATTGATCTTATTATAATACGCCGTACTGATTTTCATGTTATTTTTCAATAGGTTGAAGAGTATACTGGTTTGCATGTTCAGTCAAACAAGGCAATTGTAGGGGCCAATGCGTTTTCTCATGAAAGTGGGATTCACCAGGTTGGTCTAAAAACTATTTTGCCACTGTACATTAGAATTATACGTTTAGATAACTTTTCATGAAGGATAATATGATCAAATGAAATATCTAAAAATAAATAAGCTCGGGTTAGAGTATTATTAGACCTGAGCATTGCAAACTTATCTACCTTATAAACCCACACTAAGGTAGGACTATTAGCAGTGACGAATCTAGATTCACCTACATTAATTTTTTTTTGTTGGGAGTTTTTTTTTGGGGGGGGGGAATTTAAAACCATCAAGAATATGGGAGGACAAAACTAAATTTTACATTTTCTGCAAAACACATTATTTTAAAAAAAATAGTGGAGAGCACCCCCTTGCCCCGGCCCCTTGCATTCCTCAATGACTACTAGAGACTTTTATATATATAGTGCATAGAAGATATACAGATGAGAGAACGAGATGGGGAGTAGAACGAATATTATGAAGAGGTATGTTTATAGTGCGGGAGACAGTCATAGAAAAGTAAATTCCAATTGACATAAATTTGTCTCATAAATTGAGATGGAATGTTCAATATTAATGCAGTTATGAAGAGAAAAACTTCTTGAATTGATTCAATCAGGAATTAATTCCTAATTTCTGGTCAACTCTCATTAAACCTGAATAAATGGAATTATTACTAATCAATATGATATATTATATCGATTCCCATTAAGGGCATATATGTAATTTCAAGATTTCCCACTCATGCTTAATAGGATTACCATTATGCGCTCACTACATCTCTCTTGCTTTATACTTGGTGCTTTCCTGTGATCGTGTGGGCATGACATCCTCAATTTGGATGTTTTGATACTAGAAATCTTATATAACAGGATCAACACACAAAGACATTCATTTATGTACCTGCATTGCAATTATAAGTTTCTCAAATACCCAAAGATTACCTATACACATTACTCATGGCATGTCTAACCCCTCTCTAATTAATTATCTTTAATTGAGAGTTTCTTCTCATATACTTAGTACTTGCACTTAGAAGTTATTCACATAACCTATAAGGAACATGCCTTAGATACTAGCACAAATGTGTACTTAAGAGTCATTGGATATCAATTAAGTGTTGACCCATTATATTGAATCACTCATGATCATGGGGTACATATAGCACTTGGACCAGAATTCCATGAATCATACCACTCATGATGACGTCATTAGTTAGGAATTTTTTGTCTCGCTATACAAGTATCATGGATTGTGGCTATCCATGATTTGATCCAAATTTTAGATTTTAGATCTCATCTTGATATTACTTCTTGAGACGACATGTGTTATGTTTTCTTCTCAACTATTTCACCATTCTCTTTAAGTTGGGGGCCTGGTGATCACATTATTTACCAGTTCCTTTGCCTCTTATAAGCATAGAAGGCAGTTTTACTCTTGAGAGAGTTAACGTCTCGAACATGTACGACACATTAAATATTGTACAACATTGCATATGTGTGTTAAGCGTATGTATAATTTTATTCATGAGATAAGTTCAATACATTATATTTTACACATACCCAAAGTATTCACATGTTTCACAAATAGATCTTAATACGTTTTATGTTTGCATTGATGAATTAAACGAAAATCAAGAAATAAATGAGTTGCATGCAACTAGAGAAGAAATACACTATTTTATGGTAAAATGTGTGGCTCCTACTGTGTTTTATGTTTGCATTGATGGGGTAAGTCTTGGAAAACGCCGCCTAAGATATTTCGCTTAAAATTATTACTTTTACACATTGTGGAATAAAAGGAAATGCCACCTAAGCAATCTTATTTTGAATTATTTTTATAGACAAGGTGAAATCCTGTGTTTCCTTTCTTGAGAAATGCCACTTAAGGTATTTTATTTCAAATTTTTTTATAATAATCATAATTAATAATTAAATAAAAAATATACCATAAGAATAGGTACCTAAAGGTTTACAATTTTTTGATATATAATTATTACCAATTATTTTTAATTTCATAGTCAGTAATATTTAGATATATAATTATTATTATATTTGTTAGGTGGCATTTTGTTTATTGAAATTCTACTTAATTTTTCAGTAACAATAAGTTATGGCATTTCATGTAAAAAATGTCACCTCTTGTTATTTTCATAAAATTATGAATAAAAAATAATTGATATGTGGTGGCATTTGAAATAAAAAATTGCACCCAAGGACTTTCAGCTTCAATTTTAGTAGTGTTTTATTTTTTATTGCTATAAAATACTGTTATTAAATTCTATTTTTGTAATAGTGAATTATTATAATTAATTTATATTATAAGGATTGAATTTTATTAGGTTAAAATTTAAAAGTTGAGTTATGATTGAGTCCAATATAAAAGTATCAAATGATTAATTTTCTTTAGTTTTATTTTCTTGTTAAAACGTTAGATTGTGTTGATTTACCACATGAACTACAGAAAAGTTGTGATTGGGCATTTTTCCTTTTCTCTGTGTCTGCATAGGAATTGTTTGGAGTTTTCTTCGTTTTCGTTAAGTGCATGTGTGACGGAGATTGGAGGGGTGAGGTCTTCGAGGTCTCTTGGCTTAAGAACTAGGGGAAGAGAAAACTCTCTCTCACCTTGATATAAAAAAATTGGATCAAAAAGTAAAAATATAATGAACTTTTTTTTCAAGAGTATTCAGTATTCTTAAATGAAGATGGTATAAAAGTACTCATAACTTTAATTTAACAAGTACAACCATCCTAAAATCATTAAGTCGACCGTTTAACTGTCATGTAAGCATACAGTTGACTAATTTTACTGATGTGGAGTGAGTAAGTTGACCAAGCTTATCCTTGCTGGCATTTATCTTGATGACTCACTTTCTCTTCTTCCCTCTGCCTGCACTTCTACTTGCCCTCTCCCTAAACCACAGCTCTGACGCCCTCTCTCTTGAAATCAAGTTGTGTAGCTTATAAGGCGATTCCAATTTCCCTTCTCGCAGCAAGTAGAACTTGGATCTCTCTCTTGAATCCAGGAGATGATGACCTATATTCCAAAATGAGTTCGTCTCATTGATTTCCTTTTCATTCTTTCTCTAGAAAAATTTAAGTGTTTTGGGGAATTCATTAATTTCTCACCGAAATTAGATTCCAGTCTCGTTACTTGGTTTGAATTCTAACAATTAATAGTGTTTTATTATTTTGTGTCTCAGTTTAGAAATGACTAGAATTTATAGAAGCTTGAGCGTTTTGGTTTGAGGCTTAGTAGGAAGAGGATTGCGATTTCAGACAATGTAGAAGCTTCTTCACTCGTTTTTTTTCCCCCCTCTTTTTCTCCGCTCAATCTAAGTAGGTTTCTTTTTCTTTCTTTCATTTGCTTTTTCGGGTTTCAACTTCTTGCTTCATCCTTTTGGTTAGATTTTCAAGTGGATTCTGCTTTTGGGATTAAAGTTATGAGTTTTCAATCTAGCTTCAAGATATGCTTGCCGAAATCAAGGTGCTTCCCTTTGATAAATTCGATGGCTCCGGGCTTCGTAGTAATTTAGGGTACACTAAGAGACACGTGGCAGTGATTGTGAAGGAAAAGTTCATGGGTATTTTTGCATTGTCCTTCACTTTAGAATATTAGATGCTCCTAAAAAAAAGTTCTTGGATATTTTTTGCTCTCCAACCCAAAAAATTATATTATTATTTTATTCTCAATAATGTCTCATAGGATTGACTTTAACAAACTCTCCCTTGCTAGCATAGATACATTCATGTCATACAATAATTTATATGCATGTAGTTTTGGTCTCACAACACAATTATCAAACACAAAAGAGTGAGTGGCACTTAAATCAAACATATCAATTTCTTGATCAAGAAGTAGTGTTTTAGCTCTAATCAAATTAGAAGACACATCAGAATCCTCCTATGTCATGACAAACACATGTCTAGCTAGGGATTGTAGACCTCTACTTTGGTGCACTTGACTTGCCCTCATCACAATACTGTGCAATGTATCCTATCTTGCCACATTTGTAACAAACCTAACACTTCCATGTGTGGTGCCTCTCACATTTTGGGCACAATGTGGTTCTGATAGTGCTAAGAGTAGAAGTAGGTATAAATAAAGCTTGAAGTGAAGTTTAGGGGCCCCAACATTGTTCCTTAGCCTACCACTCTTCTAAAACGAATCTTGAGATTGAGACTCCTTTCCTAAAGTTTCCCTTGTTCTTATTGTAGCTCCCAAAGCTTCATGAGTTATAGCCTAACTTCTTATCAATCCTACAAGTATGGCTCATAAATGATGAGAATCTTCCTTGGTTATTCCTTCTCTTAGCTTGCAGGTCTCTTCCCCTTCTATCCATGTTCTTCAGTTTGCTGCATGTCTCATCAAAAGATTCTAATGGAGCTAGCTTTTGGTGGTAATCGGATCAAGCCTTCTCAAGTAGTCTCTCCACTTTCCATGGACTATCATTCATCTTGTGGAGATAGGTGGAATGTTTTGCTAGCTTGATGAATTATTAACAAATTCTTCTTCATCCATGGTCCCTTGCTCGAGGTCATGACACTTCTCTTCTTTCCCGCCTCTAAAGGTGGTCGGGAAGTAATGGTTGAAAATCTTTACTTGAATTCCTCCCAATTTAGTGGGGGACCCCTAAGACAATCTTGAACTCTCCCACTATTGTTTGGCCACATCAACCAGCACCACTGAGGTCAAGAGAACTCTCTTCTCAAAGAAGCAAGTAATGACAAAGAACATGGTCTTTAAGTAGTCCACCAACTTCTCCACCTCCCTTGCTCTTGTGTCAAAGCTTGATGGAGAAGCTCTTCCAAACTTTGTCAATGGACACCTCAGTATTGATGCATTGAGTGCCATTGCCCTTGGCTCCCTCTGACATACTTGGAGTCCCCAAACAATCCTCCATATCATTATCCACACTTTTGTTTTTGGAATGATTCTCCATGTTAGGGTTCCCGTGACTTTCCTCTTGTCTTCTATTTCTCAACTCTACCTTGTGCCTTTGCACAATATCATTGATTTGAATGACCATATCCCTTAGTTCCTTAGGATTCATTGTCTTCAGGAGGTTATGACGGTGGGTTGTTAGCTATGGCGGCTTTCTTCCCTCTGCCTATTCTCCCCTCCTAAAGACATATAGAAGTAACTACAAAAGAAGGTACATATAATGTTAGATTAGAAACTATATAAAAGGGGAAGTAAATATGTAGTGAATATACATATTTCCAACATTTACATGCTCAATGTACCAAACAAAAACAAGAAGAAGATCAAATCTCAAAGCTCAAGAATCTAATACCAAAATATAATGTCTCCTAACATTAACACACCCTTAATCATAATTACCACAATCCCTACCTTGTTGATAATCTGAGCTATATAAGTCTCTGTGTCATTGATGTTTGATTTAGGTGATTTAAGCACTCACACATAGCTTATTTGATAATCTAGATAATAACAAAGGTTTTATTTTAAAACAATATCATATCACAAAGTTGGACACCCATAATCCAAACAACCTCTTTTCACATGTAACTAACATCCAAGGTGTCCGAACTCATTGTCATAAGCTACAAATTCACAACAAGCTTTGAACCATACTCAATGGATTCCAATAAATATGTTCAACTAATCACTTTTAACAAGAACACTTTAAATCACAGTTTGACTATCGAAACCCTAATATTTCATCAAAAGGAGCATGCAACATCATTTCAACATAAACAAAATTCATGGCTCCCAAGCTAACATAAACAACTTAATCCATAAAATCAACACTTGCATTCGTATGACATCCATGATACTTTTTTTTTTCACCCTCCAATATCGAATGTAAAATTTATAGCAAAAGTCAAGCTATTGATAAAATACAAGCAATGAAACTCATGCTTTAAACGAAATTGGACCCACATATATAATTTTGAACAAGTATTAATTTGTTAGGCAACCAATTTGACATTAAGGTAGAACTTGGATTTAGATGTTAAATTTAAAATCTTGGGTTTCAAATCTGTTTATTTAAAATGCTTTGTTTGAATAGTTTAAAAAGTTTCAAATGACAAGAGAGATGAATTAATATTTAAAATGAAAATGAAAAATTAAAAAAGATGAGTTTATTTTTATTTTTAATTGACAAGATATGATAAAAAGATATGAGAATTATAAAGGTATTGATAGTGAAAATGTGAAGTAAATAAAATATTTGAGTGATTAGAATTTCAAGTGACTAGGATGTAAAGGAAATTTGAAATTACAAAGGAATTAGAATTAGAATTTCAAATAGATTTCAAATCTAAATCCATAAATTTTTGTGTATCTAAGTGAGAGATTTAGTTCAAATGCAAATCTAAATCCAAATCCCCATTAATCCAAATACACCATAGTTGTAGTTTACTCTCATAATTTGTTGACATTGAGAGTGTGGGAGGGAGAGGGGGAGAGCGTGAATGAGAGTTGTTCTCTTCATCATTCATGAATATTCTTGGATGCTTAAACTCCATGATACTTTGAGATTTAGTTATTCATTAAATTCTTAAATTATGCTAATGAACTGATTGATTTTTCCTTTCGAAGCCTGATTGATGAACTGAATGATTAGTTACTCAATTCAATTATTACTTTTCTACCAAAAATAAACAAATCTTACATTTATCTGTTTTGTAGGATGGAATGCTAAAATACAAAGGTACTTATGAAATTATATGTCCTGAGGATATTGGCTTTGAAAGATCCGATGCAGATGGAATTGTACTGGGGAAGCTTAGGTGTGCATTTTTCTTCAGTTTCCTACCTTTTTATTATATATATCTTGTTTGAATAATTCATTTTTTTCTTATTTAATTTTGATATTTTTATTTCTATCATTTTATTTCAATATATACCTGCCTTCCTTTATGGGGGTGCTAGTAATTTCTTAGGTAGACGTTATACATTTTGAAATATATCTTAAAAAAAGCTAAATTTTATTTTCAATCGATAAAATGTTTTGAAATCAATATTTGCCTGTTGTCTTAGGTACCATATCAAGGAATTTAAGTCAATATTGCAGTTTGAAAATGAACATCAATAATTTGATTTTTGAATTTTGTTATTGATCATCTATAAATTTGCTCTCTCCGGTCCCATTTTAAGATAGAGAGAAGGAATTTTTTTTTTTGGATAAATAGAGAGAAGGATCTTTAATCCTAATTATAAATTTGTCTTTTTACCCCGTTAATGCTTGGTTTAGATAAAGGGAAACGTGAGAAGAAAATAGAGAGGAGAAAAAATCAGGAGGAGAAATTTCTAAAATTAGTATTTATTTTATTATTTTAAAGAATTTTCCCTTCCAATTTTATTTTTTCTTTATTTTTTTCTCATCTAAATGTTGAGATCGAGAGAGTTACCTTATTAACATTTATATTTAATAAAGATAAAATTAAAAACTTATTAAATTTTTGGAGAAAGTAAATGAATTTTATTTTTTTTATTTTGGGACAAAATATGTTAAAAATGACTTATAATAAAATAGAAGAAAGTATATAGTATAAAAAATACGTGACAAAAAAAAAAATCAGGTGGATCTCCATTTCATATCTCAAGCCCAAACTCCAGTTTTTCTCAAACTCATCCAAAAGCTTAGACAAATGTTGACTTATTCAATATACACAGTTAATACTGTCAAATAGTTATTGTGAAATTAATGTGCTTTCTCATTTAATTATCATCACTTAACATTTACATTTATTCTTCATTCGTTGCAGTGGACGCCATGGGTTGAGAAAGCGACTTGAAGAGGTCAAAATGTCTATGCAAACATTATATATATACATATATCATACTGTCTCACTCAAGTATATTGATCTCTATTGTTTCAGTTGGGTTACGAGCTTGAAGATGAACGAATTGATGCCATATTTTGGAGTTTTAAAGCATTGGCTGAGCAGAAAAAGGTAAATAATAGCAACGTGATCTAAGGTTCTTTCCTGCGTATAACAATGCCTGGGAAATATTGTTGCATATATTAGAAGACACATATTAATGATTTAATTTTCAGTCCAAGAAAGATTTAAAAAAATGACAGTTAGGTCTCAAGAGACAAAATTAACAATAGTTAGTTTTTTAAAAAAAATTTAAAAAATAAGTTGTAAATATTAATTCAAACAATTACAAATAAATCCCAACACATGAGAGTGACATTTGAAACTTACATGCCTTATTTTCAATTAAAATTTTTGAATCCTCAATTGTTTCAATTGACATTTCAACTTATTTTTCAAAAATTTTGTTGGGAACTTAATTAATTGTCATTAATCATAGCTTTTGAGATCTTGTAACACCCTCAAATTTACAAATTAATTTTTCACAAATTATTAATTCAATAAATCATTTTTTTTCATTGAACCCTTATCATACTCTTATCATGGTAGAAATTGACAATATACCACAGGTCTTAAAATATCTCAAAAAAAAACAATTAGAACCATGAGGGACAAATAGGATCCTCATGACATGATATTTAAATCAGGTCATGAATCAAGAGGGATAAACATAACCCTCTTGATCATATAAATGCATTTAATAAAAAGGATTAGAGTTTACATGTTGTCAAAATAAAAAATGTCCTAGGTTGGCACAAGATACATTGCATAATACAAAATGAGAGGCAATGTAAAAGATGGTATCTCATACACCAAAGTTACGCCTCTAGTGCTTTCTCGGCTGGACTCGCTCTTGTAAAAATGTTAACCACGGGGAATGAGACTTAAAAGTCTCAGTAACCAAAAATTAATATGTAATGATGCATGCAGATGTAACTAATCATGCGATTGCTAAGTGGGCACACAAAACATTTAACCGAATAATATTTTCAAACAAACCGAACAAGTATTTAATTGCATGACTGCGCCTTATATCCTCCTTTCGCCATGCTCGGACGCCAAATCACCCGGCCAAAGGTGAGTTGGACTAAGCGACACGCCACTCATTGGGTCCAATGAGGGCTTACCACGTGGTAATAATTAACCGAATAAAAATTCCCATTAACATCATATATTAAAATACCTTGACAAGTCATGCATCATTCAAATATCTAAACAGAAATATATTCGAAAAATAATATCTCATCATGATAAATAAAAATAAATTTTTAACCCACTTGGCAATGATTTCAAACAAGTATATAACAGTATTTATTTTTAATAATTCATAAATTTTCCAAACAATAAGATAACACATAACCATTCACAAACACACTCATCACAACACATTAATAATGGTTACCTTGTGTCTTGAATAACAAGTTCCCTTTCACAACAACTCTTTCACCACTATCTTTGTCAATATAATCTACATAATTATTTCACAATACTATATATTAATTTTACATTAAAATTAATAAATAACTCTAAATTAAAGAGTTAGAAAGTCTTAGGTCTAAAATCCATATTAACACTAATTTAAGATTTATACCTCATTTAACTTCCCAAATTCTTTTTCTAAAATTCTCATACCTTAATAAATCATATTTAAGCCTCAAATCACCTTTCTATAACCTCAAAAATATCTATTCATACTTAAATAAATATCTAATAATCAGAGGTTCATCCCTACATCTCAGATTTCACATAAATTCAATCATATAGATCTAGATTTTAACTCAAAAATTCTTAAACATGAGTTTCAATCTCAAGAAAATATTCTATAATATTTATTATATCCCTAAGAGCTTAAACCTATATTTTTAATCCATCATATCATCAGATTAACTATCCTATAGAAAAATCCTAATCAGAATATTTGCTCTATTTTACAAAATAATCATATCACTAGAAAGCAAATACTATTTAGAAAATAATTATAAAATTAATTTTGTAATTAAATAATTTTTTAAATGCTAATCTAAACAGGAAAGTTGGAGTATACCTGAAGAAAAAGAAAATAATCCCCCCTTGCGAGAAAACGCCAAGCAATGTGAGAGGAAGAGAGAAAAATAATATAAAAATGAGATTGTGGATCCTAAAATTATATTAAAAAAACTATAGGTTTGAATTTAATTATTCAAACCTTTGGGCCATTACTTGTAATTTTCACAAATTGCATCTTGAGTCCTTAGTTGCAATTTTCATAAATTACAATAAAAATTTCTTCATGCTTTCTCCACAATGCGCCTCCTCCTTTTATACATGAGGAGGCGCCTTTCATTTCTACATCTAACCGATGTGGGACTAAACCCCCCCTTTTTTTTTACTTTCTTTTCTTTTCTTTTTTTTTTAACTCACACACACATAATTTTTTTTTAAATCTTAAAATTATATCTTAACAAAATATTTCTTATATAATTTTAAACCTAAGTTTTTAATTCATAATTAAATGCCTAACCATATTATTATTTTCAAATAACCTCAAATAATATAAATTCCTATTATTATCATCAATTTTTTTAATAAAACTTAAATTTCATAAATTTTTTTATCTAAAAATTAGGATGTTACAGATCTAACTATTATATTTTATTACTTTGGTCTCCAGCCAATATAAGGATAATAAGCATATATACATTAAAATTATATTAGATCCCATTAAAGTTATCCTTCCTCTTATTATTCATATTTGAAGCAAAATCATTTCACTTAGATTTTAGATTCTCATCACAAGTCATTATATTGAAAACCATAAAATCAATATCGGAAGTGATACCAACTTATAAATGGGATATCCCATTTCATTTATGGCACTTTTCAATTATTAAAAAACAAAGGCTCTTTTCTAACAAAAGATACAACCTTTGATCCTTTAATTTTACAAAAAAGTCTCATTTTAAACATTTAATTTTATAAAATATTTTTTTGATCTTTTAATTATATCACTGTTAGTTTCATTAAAAAAAAGGTGACATTTAAATATTGAATAACATTCTAAAATTTTGATATGTTAAATTTAATTTTTAAAATAGCAACGATTGACAAGTTGCCATTTACCTAAGTGAACTTATAAACTACTTGTAGTAAGTAAATATCACACTATAGAGGATACCTACTCAAGCTTTTCCTATAGGAGATACCTACAGGAGCTTTTCAACCAGAAAATGTTCTAATAGGTTTTTCCTACAATTATTATATATATAAAAAATATTTACTTTCAAAACATTTACAAAACACTCCAAGAACATGAAAAGAAAGGCTTCAAAAAACGTCTTTTGTAGTAGGTACTATATATTGGTAAAAAAAAAAAAAGGGAAGAATTATGTTGAAGTTTCAATGTGTTGTAAATTACTTTATGTAAATTGTTAATGAATTTCATAATAATTAATTTTTTAATATAGGACTTGTATGTACCTTTTTTAAAAAACAAAAAGGTAGGTGCTGCACATTTGTGACTAGGATTCTCCTGGTCATGAGACAGAATGGACGACCTTATAAAAAGATATGTGGGATCTACAGTAACTATTAGTTGACTATCCCTTAAATGGACTCTAGAAGAAGTTTAAAAAACAAAAAAAGAAATTGTGTGCTACACTTCTGCGAGACGCACATGCCAAGAGTGAGTCCTTTGTCTATTTTTCCAATCACTTCAGCTACAGTAACATAATTAATTTTTTTTTGGGCCAAAAGTAATATAATTAATTACTCACACCTTTCTCTTTTTTCTTTCCTCTACCACGAGAATGGATCTAATTTGTTTTTTTTTTTTTCTTGATATGTCCTAACTGATCTATGCATGCTTTCTTTTCTATTTGCTGAAAATCATTTTTCTTCTAACTAGCTTGCTTTAATGCCTTTTGTTATCAGAGAGTTTCTGATGCTGAACTCAAAGCATTTGTATCAAATGGAGTTTTTCAGACAGAGCATTAGAGAAACAGCAATGCAAATCAAACATTTTGTTATGGAGAATTTGTACTGAATTATTTCTTTGTGGTTGTCTAAAGTGTGTTGTTCTTCTACTTACATATAGACTAATGGTGGATGTTATTTATTTACAATAACACTAGTTTTTGAATGAGTTATATTATAAATGAAGTTAACCTCACAATTTATTGTCACTACAAAAAAAAAAATATTAACTTTAAATTAAATTATAATTAAAAAAGTCATTACTAATAGCCACACTTTTAATGAAGATCAATCAAGTTGTTGATGAAAGTGTGACTGTTAATAAAACAAGAAAATATTATTATTGAAAGTATCTTTTTGCAATGACAAAGAAAGTCACTAGTTGTTAAAAGATATGGTATTAGCAGCAACATTATAAAATCACCATTAAATATCAAATCAATAAACAACGACTTTATAGTTGCTGCTAAATGTCATAACTCAAGTGACAACTCTTGATCATTGTAGAAGAATTTCAACAATGACATCAATGGATCGCCACTTAGTGTTTGATTTTAGTAGCAACATTGAAGAGTCGCTCCTAAATTTAATACAATCAGCCCCTAAAAGTCTATTTTTTACAATTTTTATTGACTATTTTTTAAAAAAATATCATATTTATGTAACAAATGTATGTTATTAAGGCAATTTGATATAAATATTATATTAACAAGCTACAATGTTGCGTTTGAGAGATATGTGAGATAAATAATGGTGTTTGTGAGAGGGGAGAATAGGAAGACAAATCAAAAATTGATTTAAGATATGTATTTGAGTTTGAAAGATGGGATGAGTTTCATATTTATCATTATAGTCATGAAATCTGAACCATCAAAAATTCATTTAAATGGTCAAAATTTAAAATTTTTAACTTATAACTTTTTATGTAAAAATTATTATCTAACATAGCAACACAAGTAAAGATTATCTTTATTTTAAATTCTATATCTATGAAAACAAAAAAATTATCAAGAACAAAATTATGTTAAATTTGGAGAGCATCAAAATTGATTATGTAAGTGAGGGAGATGGGACTCTCTCTCTCTCTCTCTCTCTCACAGAGTGAGAGAGAGAGATTTTGATTAAATTTGTGTGATTATAATTTCCTCAGAGAGAGAGGGAGAGAGATTTTGACTAAATTTGTGTGATTATAATTTTCTTAGAGGATACATTAATTAATTACATCTTACGGTGGATTTGCATGTGTGTGTGGGGTAGAGGGATAGAGATTAATCATGTATTTATGTGTATGGTTATATTTATAATTACCATTAAAGATATTAATACTATAATTATAAATAAACTAAAAACAAATAACAAGATAATATAAATAAAATCTTAATTGAATCTAAAAGATAATTATAATAAGAAAAAAATTTATATACTTAGTCTTATTATATACTTAAGATGCTTAGTTTTAATTAAATTAAGACGTGTGAATTTTTTATATATCATTTCTTTAATTGAAAACAAGGCAAAAACCCAAACTAAATTATTCACCCAAAATTACACAAGGGTAAATAATCCCTTGGGATATGGATACGTCCCAGGCAAGAGCTTCGTAAGAGGCTCCATGAGCAAACTCAATTTTTTATCCTGTTCCTAATTAACTTTGCTAACCAATTTACATACATGTTACCTTCCATAAAACCCATGATTAATGTTAAATTTCCATTCATCATCAATAAAACAAAGTGCATGCCTTAATTGCCCCTATGAAGAATCTCTATTCTCAATAGCTTTATTAAACTCTTTCACAATGGACATAGCATATCTTTTCATTGTAAGCTTAATAAAACTCCTGTTGTTAGCCCACCCTTGTTTTGGACTCTCATACGAAAATAATAAATGTATATGTCTTTTAGATAGTTACTGACTATTGAAGGTAGTTAGGTCATTTAGCTGTTTTTTAGTGATCTTAATCAACATCTCTCAAGAGTCTTATAAATATTAGTATGCCTCCTCATTTGCAACTAACCTACTGATGTAATGATTAGATAGTTATTGATTGTTAAGGGTAATTAGGTCATTTAGCTATCTTTTGGTGATTTCAATCAGCATCTCTTAGAGTCTTATAAATATTAGGATGCCTTCTCATTTGTAACTAGCCTACTGATGTAACGAATTAGCACTATCCAGATTTTGTTTCTACTCTCTATTTTGGTTCTCTCTATCTCTTCATTCTGTTTCTTCCTCTTTGTTTTGTTAAACCATGGCTTTGATGATCAAAAAATGAGAGAAATTTGTGAATTTAAGGGAATTATTATTATTATTAAGGATAATGGCTTGTAAGGAAAAATGGTATATTTGTTCTAAAAACTAACTTAAGGTCATATTCTCAAATAGTGTCCTTATTCCCAAATAGCCAAGAAACTCAAATCTTATTTCCAGTTAAATCTAATTGAGTTGCATTATAAAGTTTAAGTATTTGATTTGATTTTAATCTCTTAAGGACCATTCCTATTATCTAAGAAGTATTTCAACTGATTTCAGAATCAAAAAAATTCAAAGTTTGAAAGCTTCTATGTGTTTTTCATTTCTAAGGTCCTTATTCCACAATAGCACCTTTTATTTTGGAATAACTTATTTGTGTATACCCACCTTATTTTGAAGCAATCAACCTTTTTCATCTTCAAGAATTCTTTATTGGGAGAATGATAAAGAGGTCCTAAAAGAATCAATTAATTCAAGTTAGATCTCAAGTGCCAAATTTTAGAAATTTACAATTCAATCTCTCAATTTTACAACTTGTAATTTTGCAAATTTTAACAAGAAAAATAATTTTTTTATTCTTCAACCATATTAAAATTTAAAAAATAAGTTACAAATTCATCACAACACAATTACAAAATTGAAAAATAAACTTGTAAATTTTTAAAATTTGACACTTAGGACCGAACTTAAATTAATTGATCTTTTTAGGATTTCTTTATCATTCTCCCTTCTTTATTCTGAAATAGGTTTGTTTATTTTGATATAGTGGTTGCTTCTTAGAAGTTAATTCCCCATACATTATTTTGGAATGATGTACTCATTTAGGAACAAAATGCCTTATTCTAAAATATGTTCCTTCTTCAGGAATATCAATTCCCATGTTTGAGAATAGCTCTTTTATTCTCAAATAAAGCTCCGTAGATTACTGCCTACATAAACTTATTCCGATACATGAGAGCTATTTCAAAAGAGTCAACTCTGTGGCTTTAATTGAAATGTTCTTGAATTTTCTTGAACAAACCTCTTTATTTTGGAATATGTATGAAGGATATTGCTTTGTTTTTTTTAGGTTATCTCTGTCTCTTCAAATCTCATTGCATACACATTCCTTTCACTTTCCATAAGTTCTGTTAACTCTCTTTGCATCTTAGAAACCTTTTAAACACAACTTCAAATTGGATTAAACACTTCTTGATTATTCTAAAATCCTTATTTCTGAATAGCCTTCGCTCTTCTAAAATAAACTCTCACCTAACTTTGTCGTGAGAGAGAAAACTTTGCTATGAGAGAGAAAACTTCACTGTAAAGCATTGTGTCATTGCCTCATTTCTGGAGAAACTCAGAAATGACTCTAACGACTATATTCATGAGTTTAATAGATTATTTATTGACGAACCTATATATCAATGGTTGTGCAAGCTCCAATGAACTTTATGAGTTGTGAGTCTCAATAGTTGGATTGGTGTTAGCCTCCAATAATTTTTAGTAGATTTACATTGCTTACCATTTTGTTTAAGCCTTATATACACTATCAAGGTTACTTAACTGTACTTATTTAGAAAAGCATTATACTAGATAGGAATTAATTGAATTTGAGTTGGAACTACCTTAGTTGGCATGGTAACCTATGTAGGTGTAATTGATAACTAAATAATAACTAAGATTTCAATAAAGCTGTTTGTAGTTAAATATGAACATGATGAGTTAGGATTGATCCTGTAACAATGATGTGTGTAGCTATTCTTAGATATCAATACTTGGCTTTAAGAAAGAGACCCTTTTGTTTCTAAATTGATAGTTGCATTGAATTGGTACTGCTTGATTAATTTAGGTCTCTATGAGGGGGGACTCTATTTTTTAATAGTAAGCATAGTTAAGTGATGCAAGATTCTTGGGAATGTTAAGACAATCAATCCCCTTGGATTTTAATTATGCCAAAAATGAAAGCAAGCTTCACTCATGGCCCTCTTAATTTTCCTTTTAGCCATATGATGCTTTTCACAATTTCTATCGCTATTGCACAAATGGAATGGCTTTGAAACACTCCTTATACTTGATTTTTTTCTGTACACTATCATTCTACCACCAAGACTCTTTATCTCTCGAACTAAAACCTCTTGATTTTCCCAAAACTTTTGTAACCTTCCTTACCTTCATAGCCAAGCCTTCCCACAAAGTATTAGCATTTCCTCGTGACTCTCAAATTCCTTCGATCAAGAGATTTCTCTCGAAAATTTCTCTCTTTTCATCTTTTAATTGGCACCACCTAATCTTTGAAATTATTACTTATCGACACTTTTGGTTTTTACTCATAACACATACATCAAGGACAAGGACCTTCTGTTGTGTCATAATAACATCCCCAAAAATCACCTTACAATTTTTATGAAGTCTACTATCCACGTTCCTTACCCAAAAGAAACCAATTTGTGACCTTAAAGCTTCGTTTTTATAAGTGATGAAATGCTCATTCCTCTTCTTGAAACAGGTATTAGAAATCTTGAAATCATATGCCAAAGAGAAATCAAGGATATGTTGCCCTTCATTATTTAGTTCTCTAAAACCCAAACCACCATGCACCCTCGTATAATGACTTGCCTCCCTCCCGACATGTCCATTAAAATCTCCTCCAATAAAGATCTTTTCATTATGTGGTATGCTTTCAATCAACCCCTCTAAGTCTTTACAAAATAATTCTTTAAGACTGACTTCTGTCCAAACTTAAGGTGCATAAGCACTAACAATATTGATAGTCTCCCATCCGATGATCAATTTTAAGGACATAATTCTGTGCCCAATTCTATTAACTTCTACAACATTTTTCTTCCACTCTCTATCGACAATGATACCCACCCCATTGCATGTGTTTACTTTCCTAGTATACTAGAGTTTAAAACCTTAAATACCCTTAGCTTGTTCACTAATCTATTTAGTCTCCTATAGGCACAAGATATTAATTTTTCTCTGAATCATAACTCCTACAATCTTCATAGATTTACCAATCAAGGTCCCAACATTCCAAATACTAAGTCTGATCTTGCTCACATGGACTAACTTCTTTGCCGCGCTCATCCAGAATAACGCAATAGCCTTTGCTCATTTAACACTACATTCGAGCTTCAATGTAGCAACCCTAACTCACTTATCAATGCACTCGAGCCATACAGTGCGTTACTTACGAACAACAAGCTAGCATTAGCACAAATAGGTCTATTGTCTATATCCATGTGTGATTCAACAAAGTTTTATGTTGATGGTTGACGACCTAACACAACCCTCCTCTTTCACTATATGTTAATGTTACCAAATTGAGGAATCATAGATTGACACACCATGCATGAGTTGCATAAGGGAAATGCTTTTGTAGATTAGCTAGCTTAGAGTAGTCAAGAGTTTCCTCAGGTTTAAAGTTGGTTTAATATCCCTCTACCTTTCATCCAATATTTGACAGAAGATTATTAAAAAAAATTATATATTAACATGTAAATCCAAAAAGAACAACCCTACAAAAGAGGAAGAACATAGCACAGGTTCTTTTGAACATGGAGGAATGCCACGTCAATAAACAAAATCAACAGCTTTTAACCCAACCAAAATTTACAGAATAAGCAGCACGTTCATATACGTACATTTAAATTGTGTGTCATAGCATAAGTGTATGTCATATACATACATGAAAATTTGACACATGTAGGCATCTTCATACCCTTCCATACATGCACATTCTGTCCAAGCAACATTCCTTGCTTGTCAAAAAGAAAAACATGTGTCATGATAAAGTCTCTGAAACTCTATTCACCTAAATGCACGTCATACCATGTTTACAATCTAGTGAAAACAAAAACCTTTCTAATATGATATCACACTCTTGGCACAATTTTGGTGTCAAATATTCTATATTGTCTACTGCCCCAGATGTCATGTTTAGAAGTGTAGTAAGACTTGAGACACACCTGAACCCATGGTGGGTTTCTGAAGGCACACTTCGGTACTATACTATCATCACATAAAATTACTCCAAGTAACGAGTTCATCTTCTGTGTCAAGATGGCATTGCTAGGATAACCATCAAATAGGGTTTCCTGCATAAATTATGGCAATAGATTAAAGACATGATCAGACAGAAAGAACAAAGTCTTTGACTAAGTACTCATTCAAAAGCCAACAATTGTTTTTATACATGCTAAAAACGAATTGTTATAAACACAAGTCTAAAGAAAAAACTTATCTCAAAAGAACTAGTTTAGTTGGACGAGCTCTTTGAATTTATAAATTTCACTCTACTTGCGAGGTTCTCTAACATAGGACCTATAACAACGTCACCCTATTCAAGAGCCAATGTCATCAACGGCTCCATTCCATGGAACTTCTTGAACCTCCTACCAGTTAGGATCTTGTATGGATAGCCCTCTTGATGAGACCAATCTCTTAACGAAAGTACCAATATTATGAGCACAACTCAAAAAGGAAAACTTTTTCTAAAAAACTAACTTATTAGGTGAAAAAATCCTATAAACTTATAGGCCCCACTTCACTTGTGAGGCTCCCTAATGTGAGACTCATAACACGAGCATTGCCTCTTAAAAAATAATGAAGCATGATTGTTTGAATTCAAGTAAGATTCTTAAAATTTAACTTGGAATTTAAGGAAGTTGCCAAGAATACACAATGATGAAGCGGTTAAAGATATTCATTACCCCATCCTCAGCATACACAAAAGCATGGATTCTAGCTGTTGGATCCTCTAGAGTCAGGCGCATCACATAAATCCCATGTTCAGAGAGGAAGTTTTCGGGTGACCATGGCATTGCTGCTACTACTCGAACAATACACTTGTATTTCGCCGTCACCTATAATTCAAGTCAATATATATCTACAATATATATATATATATAGATAGATAGAGAAGCATGTAACATCAACAAATGCAAATGTCTAAGATAAAATAGGTACTTTTGTTTGAGAATTCAGAACATTAACGTGCAATATAGACGCTTACCAATAAAAAGGAAAAGAATAACCGAGTGTTTTAAATTGTATGACAACATTATTGAAGATAGAGTAAGCAATGGAAACAAAGCTCCGCAAGTTAGGGCTGAATGAAATGCATTATGATACCTCTGAATGGGTGAGGACATCCATTAAAGTATTCAATCGGGCATCATCATGATCAACCACTGTCAGGGGGAACAAAATTGTATAGGAAAATATATAATGTTTGATATTTGTAACATTGAAAGAATAACAAAAAACAATGATGAAATGCACATGTGAAACCTGTAATAGGTGAAGGCCAAGGAAAGCTCCAAAAAGGCATTCTTCTCATGTTCTTAGACATTCGCTCACCATACAAACTATCTCAAGCGAATGCAAAAGACAACAAATCGAAACATCAGTTAATTGTTCTATTATATCCAATTATTTTATGAGCCAACAGAGTGGACAACCACCTTTCACGCTGTTTTATGAGATCATCATCATTCCGTATGTACCGAAGCTTTGTAGATGGAGTCAACACGCCATGCCATAGTCCTGCATGCACTTCAAGACGCATATTGACAAATTTAACCCACCTGCCATTTTCTAAATGTTTTAGATGGCTCTTCTCCATGCTTTGGTCATATGCTATTCTCAAGATGGACCCAACGGTAGGAAAAGCACACAATAACTCTCTTGGTAGAGGCACGAGTTCATGATGTAATGGAAGATGATTGTGCAGTTCATCCTCTAGCCTGCAATTTATAGAAAGATCATCAACTTTCTCTGGTGATAGTGCAATGCCATCAGTAACTGCTGTACTAACTAATATATACTACACAATATATAACTGATTAACCAACAAGAATTATTTGTGCCATTATTGAATCTCAATTTTATTCCGCATTGCAATCATGGTAAATCGAGCTATTTGTTTACCTACATAAAGTTTTTTATTGACCAACATGAGTTATTTGTACCATTATCAAATCTTGATTTTATTCCAAATGATGTAATCATGGCAAAACAAGTTGTTCATTACCCATATTGAAGTTGTTCATTGCCTTACATGAAGTTGTTCATAATTACAATAGATCATCAAAGAGATTTCTCTTTGAAGCCCCCATTTTATTACTGTCCTGTTTAACGTAAATCCCACCACACCAACATTCGTCGAAGTTCTAACTTTTCTCTCTTGTTTTTGTTTTCAATGCTTAATAGAATGGATTTTCATGTTTTTTCAGATGCAAAAGATTGAATTAGTTGGGTTTGAATTGTCTGTTATTATCCAGAGCAGGGGAAAAACTATTTGCAGTGAAAGCTAAAAGCTGGTCAGAATATGCCCACCAGTTTCTCCGGTGATGTGTTAGTGTTGGCAACGTCCATGCTTCCTACACTCTCGAAATTGTCAGTGTATATCATTAATGATTAATCATATCCCTCAGGAGAAAGAGGAGGAAGAAATTTGCCAAATGTTTTCTTATCATTAGATCTGGTTTTACTGTTTAGAAAATCAGGAGAGTTGGTTTAAACTTGTTGACCTACAGGAGTTCTTATAGAGTTCTTAGATCCAGTATCAATCAAAGTGAGAAAGTGTTCTTAGGGAAAGAGAGTGAAGAAAAAGGGAATCTGAAGATTTTTTTTTTTTTTAAATTTAAAGGAAGGTTAATCTTGTCATTTCCCTCAATTTTAATTTCACTTCAATATCCCTGGTCTGAAGTGAAGTTTCAGAATTTAAGGGATATTCTTTTTCATTTAGTCAAGGGATTTTAAATGAAATTTTCCATAAATGTTAATGATATATATTTTCATACCAGTATCCTAAAATTATAAAAATTGTTATATTTACAATATCATGATGTATCATGTCGAATACTAATACTTGTATTTGTGCTTCTTAGATGACAAAAAATGGGTAAAAAAGCAACCATCCCAATATAATATAATCATATAACCAAGCTGCACATCCGTCCAATATAGAGAGTACAATGTTTGACAACAAAGATATAACCAAAAAAGAGGTTCAATAGAAAGAGAATCATAGATGTCAACTAAAAGGGCAACTTTGTCAATGTGTATAAACTAGCTCAACTAGAGTAGGACTAAGCATTAGAACACCTAATAATAAGAGGAAAACTCAAGAGGTGACTAAGTGTTATTGGAGCTATCTCAACATACTGAAGCCCCAAGACACCAAAATTCACACGGAGGAGACAAATGAGACCTTAGTCTTGCTCATTAAAGCTCCAATGGATGACTAAAGTGACCAATAGAGTTGGAGGACGTGATAAGCTAATTGGAGTGCAATTTTGAACCACCAAAAGGGTGTGTTATGCACATACTTCTAAAATTAGGCCCGTACTTGTTCTCCAACCCATATAAATTAGTTTTTTTTATTTCCAAAATTAACTTCTTATTTTATAGTTATCTTATCTTATGAAAGACTTTATCTTGTTATCGTGAAAATCCATCAAAATGTAACATTATTTAGACAGATATCAAGTAATTAACAAACATGCAGGCACCAATTTAATTTTCCTAATAATCTAGAATCATACTAATTGGATCAGACTTGGGGAACTTAAATCAGTAAAAGGTTCTAAGAGCCCCAAAAAAAATAACATGAACCTCAAAATGGCACACCTATATAAGCTATCTCAATGTTAATCAAATCAATGAGCAGATAACTCTAAGCATTAAGTAGATATACACATTTGGAAGTAACGTTCATTGCTCCTCCGAATAGTATCTTAAAATAGTTTGTTCCATTCTCACATCTAAAGTTCTTGGTCAGCCATTTCCACTGACTACTTTATCCATTAGCCCATTATGACAAGAACTAATAACAGTCATAGACTTCCATATGATTTATCCAAAATTAACATCAACATGGGAAAAGGGTTAAATAGCAATGTAGAACTAAATTGAAATTAACTCACTTTGCACTTATACTGTTTGGTGGCAAATCTGTACCATCCCAAACAAAGACCATCCGTTCTTGATTTGCAGCCTCACAAAAAAGAAGTATCTTAACGTGCAAAAATAAAAATTAAGGATCAGATTATCAGAACTATATAATGGTAATAATGTAAATAGTTTTCCCTTGTTTAGCTACCACAGGGGGAAGGGATGTATAAGAACATAGGCGCGTTTCATAATCAGATATAAAAATGACAAGAAAAATACCTTGCATACTAAACTGCAGCAATTGCCTTCCTTGGTTTCTCTTAACATTGGAAAGTCATGAGAATCTACACAGCATATGCAAACCATAAATATCCACACATGAACTTAGTTCCAAAAAAGCAAGCAAGGAGATGAAAGTAGTAGAAAACCAAAAGCTACAGATACCACAAAATCAATGACACATCACACAAGAATTGCTTTCAGAAGTAAGTAATTCCTGAAAAAGCTAAAGCTAAACAAATTTATAAATACATCTGAAGGGTTAATTCATAGCTTATATATAGATATAAGGCTCTTTAAAGACTTGTTACCAAAAATTTCAAAATTTTATTGATACAACAAATTTTCAAAATCTTAGGATATGGGTACAGGGACATTTATAATATATATTTCAACATTTGATGATATAGTATTGGTATTTTACTTTTTAAACAAGAATTTCTAAAGGAATACAAGGATATTTATAACAATCAATCAAAATATTAAGTATTTTTTCAAGTTTTTAAGTAACAGTAAAAAATTGTTGAAAAAAACCATGTTACAAATGTTAGAATATGGGATACATATGTTAGAATATGGGAAACATATGCTGAAGTATTCTATAAATATCATATCAGATACGGATACATTTACTTTTTTTTAAGTATCCATGCTTCATAGGTTATAAAATTCATATTATTTTCATTGCAGCACTGTACCAAAATTGAATGAGTTTGTGATGCCGTGAAAGTCTGTCTCTTATTCATAGAAGCAACTGAATAAATAGATACAAGAGACCCTTAATCACAAAAGAGGATCAGGCCGAGATTCAAGGGATTAGAGGATCTAGCTGATATTATAGGGATAAAAAGAAACAGAAAAATAAAAGGAAAGAATCTGATTCTAGCAGACCCAAAGATGCCACTGACTTCTAGGTTAATTAACCGAGTTATTGATTTAGGGTTTTTGGCCCAAGGCCCAATAGGTGTGCCGCACTAACACTCCCCCTCGAGCTGGCAAGTAGATATCTTCCATGCCCAGCTTGATTCTAAAGTATTCAAATTTTCCTCTGTCTAATGGTTTGGTCAAAACATCAGCAACTTGTTGGCTAGAGCATATGTGGGTCAAGTCAATCACACTTGATTCCATTTTTTTCTTTTATAAAATGTCGATCAATATCCACGTGTTTAGTTCTGTCATGAACTGGATTTTGAATCATTTGAAGTGCTGCCATACTATCACACCACATTTTTATAGGTGATCTAACCTCAATTCTCAAGTCCTGTAGGACACATACTATCCACATCCCTTCACAAACTCCATTAGCCACAGCTCTAAGTTCAGCTTTTGCACTACTTTTAGAAATGACAATTTGCTTCTTACTTCTCTATGTCACTAGATTACCCTATACAAATGTGAAGTAACCACCAATTGATCTTCTATCCACACAATTTCTTCTATGGTTTGCATCAGTGTAGATAAATATATCTTTAGAGCATCCTTTTGCAAAAAAATATTCCCCTCCCAGGTGTCATTTTTAAGTACCTCAAAATAGTATATATGGCTTCCATATGTTGCTCTTGTGGTTGAGATGACAATTGGCTCACAATTCCAACTGCATAGCTTATATCTGGTCTTGTATGAGATAAGTAGATGAGTTTCCCAACAAGTCTTTTATATCTCTCGACATCAGCTGGAACTCCATCTTCCTTCATTTCAAGATTAACAGAAGGATCCATAAGAGTGGCAGATGGTTTTGCTCCCAAGATTTTAGTTTCCTTCAACAAATCAAGTGTATATTTTTGTTGGGAAACAGAGATGCCCTTCTTTGATCTAGCAATTTCCATCCTAAGGAAGTATCTAAGATTGTCGAGTTCTTTGACCTCAAAGGCTGTTGCTAAAGTCTTCTTGAGTTCCTCTATTTCCTCAACATCATTTCCATTTAATACTATGTCATCGTCATACACAATCAAGATAGATACTTCTGCTCTTGTGTTTCACAAAGAGTGTATCGTCCCCTTGACATTGAGTGTAACCTGAGCCTTTTACCACCTTTGTGAATCTCTCAAACCATGTTCTAGGTGATCGTTTTAGCCCATAAAGAGATTTGTGTAACTTGCAAGTCATACTAGGGGTTTTGAATTCTGCAAGTCCTTCAGGAATGCTCATGTAAACTTCTTCCTTAAGAGCTCTATTAAGAAATGCGTTCTTCACATCCAATTGATGTAGCGGCGAATCAAGATTAGCAACTAGAGACAATAGTATTCTTATGGTGTTCAACTTTGCCACTGGTGCAAAGGTCTCGTAAGAATCAATCCCTTCTATTTGAGAGTAGCCTTTTGCCACCAAATGAGCTTTGAACTTGTTTACAGTTTCATCTGAGTTGTATTTGATTGTAAACACCCATTTACAGCCTACTAATTTCTTTCCTTTGGGTAGCTTCATTATTTGCCACGTCTGATTTTTAGACAGTGCTCTAAGTTCTTCATTGATGGCGTCTCTCCACCTAGAGTCCCGAGTTGCCTGCTCGAACGTCATAGGAATTTTCTCTTCATCTAGTTTAGTCACAAAGCCTCTCATACAAGCTTACAAACCATCATAAGTGACAAAGTTACTTATAGGATGTAGAGTACACTATCTTACCCCCTTTCTTAAGGCAATCGGCCATCCAAGATCATTAGGTTTTGAGGTTGAGTCAGACTCTTGATTCTGCACAGACCTAGAAGGACTTCTACCAGTGGATGAGTTATTGACTTCTCCCCCTTGATTTACAATTTCTTCGTCCTCTGTATCTGCAGGTCTGTAAGAGTCTTCCTCTGGTTGACCCTGTTCAATGTTAATAGGCTCAATTTTAGGTAGGATAGTGGTATTTTGTTGTGGCAGATCAGCTTCAACTGTATGTGGAGTTTTAGGTGATATTTCAGGACTGATTGGAGTTGGTTTAGGACTGATTTGGGTTGTTAAAAACTTCCATTCTCTCTCATTCTCCCCCTAAATGGGAGATTTGGTGTAATAACCTTAGGCTTCTTCAAAGGTGACATTCATGGTGATAAAGAATTTACGAAGATTTGGAGAGTAGCATTTGTATCCCTTTTGAGAGGAGGAATACCCTAAAAAGATACATTTGAGAGCTCTAGGATCAAGTTTTCCCCCTTGATCATTATGGACATAAGCTACATACCCAAGAATCCGCTCAAGAATAGATGTAGAAAGAGGAGTGTTGGGGTAGGACTTAGTAAGAATTTCCATAGGAGTCTGGAAGTTAAAAGTTTTGGAGGACATTCGATTGATCAAATGAGTGGCAACAAGAACAGCCTCACCCCAATAAAATTTAGGGACATTATGAGTGAACATCAGGGCTCAGGTTACCTCTAGAAGATGTCTATTTTTGCGTTCAGCAGTGCCATTTTGTTGTGGTGTATTTACACAACTAGTTTGGTGAAGTATCCCATGTTCCTTAAGGTAGTTTTTCAAGGTAGAGCTCATGTATTCTCTCCCATTGTCACTTCAAAGCATGAGAATAGAGGTTTGAAACTGAGTTGTAATCATTTTGTGGAAATTCATGAAGATTGAAGGTAAATCAGATTTTTCTTTCATTAGAAAAACCCAGGTTAATCGTGTATGGTCATCGATGAATGTTACAAACCATTTAGCATTAGAGAGGGATGCAAAACGGGATGGTCCCCATATGTCACTATGAACAATGTTAAAGGGCTTAGAAAATTGATGAGAATGAGGCTTATAACAGACTTTAGTATGTTCAGAAAACTAGCAAATATCACAAGAAAAATGGGAAGTATCTTTATTCATAAGATGAGGAAACATTTTTGATTGGTAACGAAAGCCAAGATGACCTAATCTATAGTGCCATAATAACACATCTTTATTCACAGACCTAGCTGAAAGAGGAGAGGAAAACTTCACAGCAAAGAAAGAATGATGCTTCATCTCATTTAGGGGTTGACTTTCCAACCAATACAAGCCTTCTAGGATCTAAGCAGTGCCAATCATCTTCTTCAACTCCAGATCCTGAAAAACACATTCAGCAGTAGAAAAATGAACATCACACCTTTAAGTTTGAGTAATTGTTCGTACAGACAAAAGGCTGCACTTTAGGCCAGGAGCATAAAGAACATTTCTTAGGATCATTTCTGCACAAATATGTGCAGTACCAATTCCTTCTACTTTAATAGACTTTCCATCAGCAACTCTAATAAAGATATTTAAGGAACATGGCTTTATATCAATGAGTAAATTTGGATTACCAGTCATGTGATCTATAGCTCCTAAGTCAACACTCCACATAGCTTTGTGATATACATTAGAATTTAAGGCTAGGATTGTTTTACCTATATGTGCTATATACCCAGACGGAATGGTTTGTTCTTGAGAGTTATGCTTTTCCAATAACTTTCAGAGCAATTCTACTTCTTCCTTGTTCAAATCAAGCCTTACCTTATTTTCAAAACTACCAGAGTACCCTTGGCTTTCTTGATTTTCCTTCCTAGGAGGCTTGCCATGCAATTTCTAGCAAATCTCTCTAGTATGGCCCAACTTTTTACAATGGTCACACCATCGGTTCCTTTTAGTTTGGCTGTCGTTGAAAGGGGCACCTTTAGATAGTAATGCACTTAGCTGAGAGTCAGCTACATGTGAGAGTTCAGATGACGTTAGTCTTTTTTTGCTCTCTTCGTTTCTGATAGTGAAAAAGACTTCTCGCAGCAAAGCTAAGGGATCAAGACTCATTATTCTACCCCTCACTTCATCAAATTTAGTGTATAAGCCAAGTAGGAGTTTGAATATCCACTTTTCTTCCTCGAGCTTTGCATAGAGTGTGGCATCTCCTTGACACTTCCACTCAAGTGGCTCATAAAGGTCAAGTTGTTGCCATCTAACAACCAAACTCGTGTAGTATTCTGTGACAAATAGATTACCTTTTTTGAAATCATGCAGAAAGCTCTCTATCTCTAACATGGCAGCCTTATTTTTGAGTGAAGCAAACTTATGTTTGGCAGCTTCCCATACTTCTTGTGCTCACTGGTAGACGGAGACGCGAGTACTAATTTCAATAGTCATTGAATTAACTAACCATGCTTGGACCATGGAGTTGTCAGTTTCCTAAGCTGCATATTTAAGGTCATCTGTAGATGGCTTTGTTGCTGTACCAGTAAGATAGCCAAGTTTGCCCTTGCCTGTGACATATAGGCGAACACTAGCTGCCCATTGAAAGTGATTATGGCCATTGAGTCTGTGTATAGTAATAGTGGTGGGATTGGCATCGATTGGCGCTTGGTGACCCGAGGTGTTCAAGGCTGACAATTATTGTGTATTTGCTGTCAATCTTCTCAAGTCACCCTGGCCTTCTGCGTTGAGGTCATGAGTCCCGAACTACAACACGGTTGCTCTGATACCATGAATGAGTTTGTGATGCCATGAAAGTTTGTCTCTTATTCATAGAAGCAACTAAATAAATAGATATAAGAGACCCTTAATCACAATAGAGGATTAGGCTGAGATTCAAGGGATTAGAGGATCTGGCCGATATTATAAGGATAAAAAGAAACAGAAAAATAAAAGGAAAGAATCTGATTCTAACAGACCCAAAGACACCACTAACTTCTAGGTTAATTAACCTAGTTATTGATTTAGGGTTTTTGGCCCAAGGCCCAATAGGTGTGCCGCACTAACAAAAATGTTGAATGATGAATACAGTGTGCCATGCACATTGAACAATACGTGCATGCACATCACGTCTAGTTTGGACTAAACCAATTAAAAATGAATCAGCTGCTCTCAAAGCATATTAAATGCTACTAGACCTTGAATGAGCTGAGAATTGAGCAGCCATTTTCTAAGCTCAGCTAAGAGCATTTTGTCCTTATCTCTAGGAGGAAATTTTGAAGAAACTTGGTAAGGGACAAAATCATCAGTGTCTTTCCCATTATATAATGCAAAAGAGGAAAACTTTTTATTGAAAACAGCATTTACACCATCACCATGTGCTGTTACCTACAAAATTAGAGAACATATATTAAATGCAGCACCCAATCAAAATTTGATTTCATCTTCAACATATTTTCATTCTATAAGATAAAATTTGTGCATTATATGAAATAAAACCCAATAATATAAGGCTTTTTAAAGAATTGTTACAAAAATTGACTGAAATTTTTAAAGCCTATACATGTAAAATGTAAAATATAAACAGATATACATATTTAGATTTATAATATTCAAGGAAATTCAATCATTCATTCAATAATAAGATAATATTACCTTCTTATTTGTTAGGCCAACTAATAAAGCGACTGTGAATTCCTATTCTCATTCCACTCCTAGAAAGAAAACCCTCATGGGAATTGTTGAACAAGATGTCTTGGTTAACAATATTTCCAAAAACTTGGCTAATGATAGAGCACAATGGCAACGTGCAATTTATGTAACCGACCCCATCTAGTGGGATAAAGCTTGTTGTTGTTGTTGCTATTGATAAGAGTATATGACTTGACTTTCATAGTTGCTTTCTTACTTTTACTTTTATTATTTTTTGTCCCATTTTTTGTTTCCTTTCAGGTAAAACAAACCACTCCTCAACTTCACTAAAATCTTTCCATCACAAGGGATAAGTACCTGTGTTATATCATAGAACTTGTAAATCCAAATGCCTAACCTTGAATTAAGAAAAACCAAAGTTTCCTTCATGTAATATTACAAGAACTTCCTTCATATCATTGACCCTTCTCACCACAAAGTCAAACTACACTACCTCCCCCCTTAGTCTCATGCTATCATTATCTAACTGCATATTCATTTCAAATCTTAAATCCCCTCATGCAGTCCAAACATGAAAATCATGACAAAAAAACCACATGAAATGGCAAACTATAGAGAAAACAAGACCTTGAAGTTAGAATGAGAACTGCAGAGAAAACAAGTATACCGCTAATTTTGCTAAACTTTACTTAAATGTAGGCGCATAGAAACAAATATTATTGACAGAAACAATCCATAAAAAATATTCAATAGTCAACAGTAGTCTAGAAAAACAAAGCAAACATGTTTCTAGAGAATCTACTATCAAATCTAAGCCTAAGAAGATCATTACCATAACATTAAAAAGCTGAACTGCCTAAGAAGATCATTACCATAACATTAAAAAGCTGAACTATGTCTCCTCTTTCTACAACATTAGGAAGCTGTTGCGAGCTTCCAGCAAAAATATTAACGAGCATCCCAGGTTTTTGATATGATTCATCAATTATTCTTAAGGTACAATAGTAATCTGCAGAAATTATTCAAGTAAGCCAATGAGCAAGGGCAGAAAGATGCTAACTCAGAAAGAACTTCCAGTTTTCCACGTGAAATAAAATAATAAACCAAAAACTACCCTTTCTAAGGTAAGAATTCAATAAAAGTAAGATGACCATAAAGGCACAAGCTCAGAAAAGCACAAATATGTAAACAGTTTGTACAACATAGGGGGTTTCCAAGAAACCTAAAACAACCAAGTTTAACAACAGTTCATCCATGTTGAACTTTACCCCGCAAAAATAGAAGAGTCTTAGTACACATTAGCATCAACCAAAACATAATCATGAAATTGGCTCAGAACATGTACCTTAACAAAACAATTTGTCAATCTACTGCCAGTAAACTAAATGGCAGCCATAAGTCTGGCCTGTGATTCTTCATTGTGAGTTAAAATCTAAACCAACCAAACTCCAATCTCCAAATGCTTTGAAAAGTCCAATACGAGTTCTATAAAAACTGTGAAATCCGAATAATTCTTGATCCATTGGGGATCCAAATTCAAGAAATTCATATAAAAACTGTTGCAAGGTATTAAAAACATCAACAAATGTCTAGCCTTTTTAAGGTTATGACCATAAAGACACAAGCTCAAAGAAGCACAAGCAGTATGAAAAGGAAAACAGTACAGCACAATGAATTTCCTAGAGACCTAATCCAACCAAGTTTAACAACAGTTCAATCACATTGAACTTCATCCCAACTAAAATTAGAATACTTTTAGTGCATATTGGTAATTGGCATCAACCAGAACATAATCATGAAACTGGCTCAGAACATACACCTTAACAAAAAAATTCATCAATCTACTACCAGTAAGCTAAATGGCAGCCATAAGTCCGGCCTTTGATTCATCATTGCCAGTCTAAGTCTAAACCAACCAAACCCCCTCCAAACACTTTGTAAATTTCAACAATTAAAAAGAAAAATGTGAAATATGAATGGTCCTTGCTCCATTGGGGATACAAAATTGCAATTTGTAACATCATATGCAACGTTCAAGCAGCAAGGTCCTTCAAATGGAAAGTTTACCAGTGCCCCTACTTCGCTTTGGCAAGCTAAACTCAGCTATAATGCCTGTTATGTTCACTGTTTGATTGATACATTTCACAGCAACTTGTATGGGAAGAAACTTGTAGCGGTCTGCAGCTTCCATCACTCTCTGTAATTCTCTGAGCTCTCACCTCTGCCTGGCTGCTGCAAAAAGCAGCCCTTGGCCCTCACTAAAAAATAAATAAATATGCAAGTCGTGTCAAGGGAAAAAAATTAAGGTATAAGCAAACATAAATTTTGAACAAATAAGAGAATAAACCCAAAGCCCAACCCTTGAAATGAACGGTACATGTTTGTTAAGCCGATGCACTACCATGTCCAAGGATTGCCTGAGATTTTTAAGGTTGAGTTGATAAGTATGTCCAGACTCTGAATTTTTTTTTTTTTAAGAAGTTTAAAGCTTTGAGCCCTAAAACCATTGGACCAAAATCATCTAAATGGAAGGGAACGGACCAATTTAGGCTGTATGTACTATACCTGTGACTGGACCTGGAAGAGAATTGGAAAATTGAAATGAAAAGGCAAACAATAATCTTAAAAACAATGCAAAAATCTAAACCTGGAAGGAAAAAAGATTGTAACCATAAATCAAACCTTGGAAGCAAAAAATAAAAATAAAAAAAGTAACAAAATGAAGCAAAAATTATAACTATAAATCAGACCTGGAAGCGAAAAATATATAACCAAAATACAGTCATCTATAGACTCAAACCAACTTCAAATACTAAATCCAGGGATTCCGCATGGAAACATAAAAATAATAGTCATCCAGGATGAATATAATCATCCCTACTCAGAAGATACTCATCCATAAACTCAAAATACAGTCATCCATACTCAAAATAATACAGTGATCCACTATTTTTAACAGTGAAGCACAATAAAGCCAGAAAAAATAAAAAAAATAAAAACCTAGTCATATGGGACTGGCAGAATGGGCTTCGGTTAGGATATAAAGTATAAACAAAACTTGTCCCTATATTTCGTCTGTCTCCACCTTTGGGTACGCATAGAGTTTAAGCGAAGAAGTAGAAGTACACTCGAGAACACCTTAAGCAAGCAATGAGTACCACTGTACCAGGGAGGAGCAGAGCGACAAACTACTTGAACGAGAGACAAACTGACGAAACAGGGGAAGAGACATAGCGAACGGCGTGAAGATGGAGACGACGACGGTGATTGGTCGACGGCGTCGTTGTGGCGTTGTGCGTCACAGATCAAGCGGAAGAACGGCGACTTAGGCTGAAGGTAAGAGAATCAGAGCATTTCCATACAGGAGTGGAGAGAAATTAGGGCGGGATGGATAAATCAGTGCAACGTTTTAAAACTCATCTCTAATTTGTAATTAATATTTTTTTGGGTTAAACGGCAATTTGCCTAAAATTCTTTTTTCTTAGTCACCTAACACCTTAAATTTTTTTCAGAGTATTTTTGTCTTAAATTAAAAAAAAAAATATTTTTGCTCTACTATTAAATATAAAAAATATTAAATATTAAATTAAAATTTGATCAAGAGTTAAATGATATATTTGACCTAAAACTTTTTCTCCAAAGACATTGAATATGCTAAACTTTCATGTTTAGAGCTTATTTGCCCTAAAAGTTTTAAAAATAGAGCATTTTTGCCCTTCCTTCTTCATCATCATCCTTTTCTTCTCCGTCCTCCTCCTCTTTTACTAACAAGATCCCACATTATCAGAGTCTAAATGCAAAGCTATAAAAATGGGTGTCTAAGATTCGCGAGCCTCACATCTAGCTCGGCATTTTCATCCCCCAAAGATGACTGCTCAAGCCCACAATGTTGCCACTTTGTCCATCAAAGGCAAATATATCGTTCTTAACTTTCCTTAAATAGATTGTCGTCATCCTCTCCCAACTTACCATGTGCTCCTCACGTAACATCTAAGTCACTGCTTTTGCCATCGTCGCCATGGTTAAGTTTGATGCTATAAAGTCTTTAGTGTTAGATTGGGAGGTGCAGCGAAAAATTAAAATTTAAAACCCCAATCACAATTGCAAACCGATCAAACTTGTTTAAGTCAAGATAAATAAAAGAGTTACCTTTTATTTTCAAATTTCTCACATGTTTTCTTCAAATATTTGGATCTCAAGAAATAACAATATAAATCCGTTCCCTTTACCGATATCTACATGAAAAGTTTTCTAACAAGAATAGCGTGCCAACACTATTTGTATCTAATGTTCGTCCGTCCGTCAATCAGACGCTCCTTTTATTATCTAGGGTATTTTCGTGGCTCTCAGAATTTTGTCGTTAAGTGACTCACACTTCAAAAACTTGTCCACTTCTTTATATTATATAGATTAGGGTTTTTGTAGCTAATAAAATTAAATTTAAATATATTATATTATATATACACTAATATATATATATATTGAATTTTATATTTCATATACATATATATATACACACACACATACAAATATTTATCATTGAATATTCACACACATATAATTCATTCACCTCAGATAAAGTATTATATTCATTGAATCTAGACATATTCCAAATTCAATAAACTTGGATATTATAGCTCAAGTTAGGCTATTTTTGTGTGCGATCTTATAGGCCCATATGAAATTAGCAATAGGCCAATAGCGTTACTAGTCCACAATTCACAAATGGCCTCTAGCAATGCATTACGACTACTCAATTCATATAAGGATTGATTATTTGATATAACCTATCATATAACCGTAGCACATCCCTTTTGTCACATGATATTTCAGTTAAGTGTGAGACATAGAATTGTAATTCTCCTTTACCTAATTGTTATTTTCTCAATCTCTGAGTGGACTGACTATAGCAATGGAAAAACTCTTTTCATTGTAGTATGGCCATATATTTTCTCAAGCTTACTCATCGAGGGGCCCAATAATATCTCTCAATTAATGTGAGGAATAAATTCCATCTTGACCACTCATATTCCTCTACATAAATATCACTAAACGCAATCATAGCCTTTATAATTACCCAATAAAATGTGACTTTTGACTAGGTTAAAGTTCAATGATCATCATATAGGAATCCATCATGATATCAAGTCAAAGAGCTTAGTGACATGGTTACATATAAGATAAACTTATGACTTGTACCATGCATCTTTCTCATAACAAGTTGGTCCAGCATTTTGTAACCTTTCAAGTACCTACAACTTTGATTTATATCTCTATAATTAATTAAAGTCATACTAATATTGTTTCATCTATGATCCCTCATAAATGACCGGCAAGGGACATTTAAGACAATTACTATGGTTTATCTAAGGATACAATTACCATAGGGAACATATAATTAATATGATAACAAAAGAAAACTTCAGTTTTCTTGAATTTAAACCGAACCCATTGACTTAGATAAAGTCTTGGGAAGTTAAATCAAACCTATAACCTTAAGTTTATGGGTTTAGTTTGGATTTATAATTTTTGTTAAGGGTTTGGACAAACCTTAGGTATAATTTGAGGGTTTTAGGACAATGTGGATAGTGAGTTGATAATTTTGGTATGTTTAGATGCTTAATAAGATTGTTAGAGTGTTTTGAAAGGGTTGGTGTTGTTAAATAAGGAATTTGAGAGTTTGGATACTTGGAATCTAGTGATTTTGAGGATTAGTCGAAGTGATAATTGATAATCATTGCTCAATTGTGTAGATTGAGTGTTACTTGAGAGCCTTATCACACGTATAAAACATATCGAGCTAACGTTGAGCCACAGTAACCCTTTTGTGACAAAGGGTTGAGGTAACGAAATAATTTACACTATTTGATTATATTTCTTAATTGTTTGTGAGTAGATATATATGTTTACTACTGGTGATTTGATAACATTGCATATTACAAAATATGATTTTTGTGCATGTGAAATGATTTCAAAATGGTGAAGTTTTGTAAAAGTTTTATATAATTGTAGTCAGAATTGGATATGTACACAAGTTTGGTATGAGATGTGCGAGCATCATCATGTTAAGAGGTAGGAGTTTACCCATAAGAAGGAGTAGTGAAAGTCCATATTGCATGTATCTCCTTAGTGTCTAGTGAGGCATGATGTTAGAGATTATTTCCTTAGTATGCATACAGGATACGACGTTGGAGAGTAACACTCCTTAAGATTAGTGATGCGGTGTTGGAGTAACAATACCTCAATTTATGTATGATAGGTGAGACCATAGCTCAAAAATGGAATAGGACATCTTTGGCCATGTAATGCTACAACTGAAGGTGAGCTCGGACCATTGTAAGGGTGTACTTGGTCCAAGAGCCTATAGTTTCAGTTGGGGTGACATGGAGGCTCAGATGGTAGATTGATCATGCTAGTGGTAAATAACTTCTGTTTATGGAAAGGATATGTTGTATATGATAAAAAGAGTATTTTTGAAGTATAATGACTTTACTTGCTTTTGGTTGTGCATGTTAATTAATAATAGTAAATTTTTCTATTACTGATATGTTTATCTCATCCCATAGTTATATTTTATAGGAGAGAGCTTCGGTAGAGGCAAGGGGGAGGAACAACTAAAGAGTGAAGAGCATTGTGTGTATAGCTCTTCTCTTTCCTATTTTAGGTTTGTAATGAATATGTCATGTTGTATACCAACTTAGGAGCATTATATTGTTTTGTTATCACTTATATGAGAATTTATGGGATGTGTGCATATCTTTGCCTAAGCTTGTAGTGACTATGATTAAATAAGTGTGCTTGGCTAAGATACTAGTACAAGTGATATATTTGTAATGGTTAATATGTTGAATTGACCAAAACTCTATTTTAGTTAAATTTGACACACCCTTATGTATTGTTTGAAATTAAGGGTTTGGTTGTCATTTTGAGTATGATTGGTGTTAATCTCTAAAATTTCATGTTATTTCATTACATCTTCCTTAAATTCTAATATATTTTGGCTCAATTGTATATATTTTTATTGACTAAATTGGGAAAATGTACATTTTATTTTGAATTTGTATTCTTAGCTTTGATTTGATATTTTTGTCCTAATTTCGTGTTATTTTAGTTCAAGACTTGATTAGAAGCATTTTTGGACTTTTGTTGATACTTTTGGAAGGCTTTTGAATGAAAAAATAAGTGTAAAAAGGATAAATTTTGTTAATTGTAAAACTAATTTAAAACTATTAAAGTCATCCAAAAGTCGCGACTTTTATCGCTGTTAGAAAAAAGCTACGTTTTATTTATTTAAAATTGATTAGGTATGACATATATATTGTCACACCCCCGATGCCAAGGGTATGATCGGCATAGAATATGAGAAGAATTCATATTCCATAAGCCTTAATAACCAAAAATTTTATTAAAATATTGATATACGTAAGTTATATATATAATAAAAATTCATAAAATTTTAAGTATATTTGTAGAAATTTCGGCAGAGTCTCCCCTGTAACTTGGGCCTCTCGAAATTTTTACAACACAACAGAACCTGTTGACCAAACCAGCATCCCAACAATTCACATAATAACTAAACAAAACCAAGACCTAACTATGATATACGCGGAGCAACAATTTATAATTTACAAAATACATTACAAGGTTTCATCAAAAGGATAATCACCCTGTGCTTCCTCTTTGCAAAAAGTAAGAAAGACTCTTAGTGGTCAGCTGGGGATGCAGGGTCAGCTACTATATCTGAGAACAAAGAAATTTCTGGTGAGTAGCGTTCCATTAAAAATTACACATAAAATCTATAAAGATAGGATAAATAGATTTAGTCTAAAAACATTGTCGTCCAGTATTGAAACATATACTTGAACTAAAGATTAAGAGCAATTCTTGTTCAACAATAAAATTCTGAAATTAAACAATTCAAATAAAATGGTATAGATTTGTTAAAAATTGTACAACTCATAGAATGTAATCAGCTCAAATACTAGACAATTAGATAGGTCCTTTCAAAAGACTAATATAAAAAATAATAAATTTCAATTTAATTCTAGGAGGGCCTTATCAGAATGATTAACAAGCATGGACATACAGTCCAGGAGGGTAAATAACCAATCAAGTATGGCTAGAAACCACAAAACAAATGTGGCAAAAGCCACGAAACAAGCGCAGGCATGAAGCCCATGAAAACAAGTATGAGTACTACGCTCACGAATATCATCCCTCCGATCCACGTGCATTAGCCTTCGCATGGGGCTAGCACCTCCTATCAGCACTTTGCTAGCTAGGTGAACCAAGGCATGCCAAGGGCTAATAGGACTGTCGTTAGCATCCATCGTTCTGAACTCAGTTCCCCTAATTAAACTCAAGCGTGCATAGA